TCGAGTTAAGTAAATTAGCCGCTTCGAAGATAGTTCAAATTTGAGTAAGACCTTAGTTACAGCCGATACAGCGTACGCGTTCTTCGCTCTGGATGAGAAATTTCCTCACAGAAGAGAATGCGAGATACGTCGATTCGCAAAAAATGAACTGCGTTCGATTCGAAACGATCAATAATCAAGACGATGACGCGAACACGAAAGAATAGGGCCGTCTTTGTAATCCGTCCGGCTATCATTTTGCACGGATTGTCGTCGTCGCGCAGATATTAATTCCGGTGGCCGTAATTAAGAGTTTCACGGGGAAATCACTCGCGAGTATTGAGTGCGCAAGTTCAATGGGGAGAATACGAGACGAGAACGCCCGGCAGCCTCCGGGAGAGAAGAGAGAGGAAAAGGCCGAGCGAGGGAGCGAGCGAGAGAAGAAAGTCTAGTTTTAATATTAACTGCATACACCGTCCCGAGCTCTCCGCGCCCGCCTCAGGTCTCTCTCCTCTTTTATCCGTCAATATTTATCATTGTCTTTAGTTCCTCCGCACCGTCGCTCTTATTCCCGTTATTCGTACGGAACCTTCTTGTATTTGCGATTAATTATATCTTCTGAAAAGCTTATGAAAGCCGCGATCTCTTATGAAAACTTCATAAAAACCGCGCGATCCGCTCATCACGCGTTACACGTGGAGTCACCGGATGAAACAGCGGAACATTTGTCAGGGTAATCCGAAGACACACGAATTCGCTTCTTTTCGCGATCTGTATTTCTCAGGCTTGCTATTCTGTACACATCCCCTAACAAGTGTCAGTACGGTACGCTAACGACGTCTATCGTTAGCGTCTGTCATAATTATGAATAACGTTAGATAATAAAGATAATAGATGAACCATGAAGATAAACCATGAAAAATAGCAATTTTTATAAAACAATGAAAAACGTTTAAACTGGATTAGTATATATGTGCCAGAAATCTAGACCTAGGTTTCTATATCGAATCGGGGCTATTTTTCTTTTTTTTTATTATTCGGATTTGTATTTGTCTTATATCTTGTCTTGTATATTGTATTGTATCTTCAGGGTCTTTGATTTTATTGCGAAACTTATTACACGCTCAACGTTGTAATCTATATGAGGTCCCGTCGGCTTACCCTCTTTATCGGCGGCTACACAACCACTCTGACGACAGGGAGGGAAGCTGCAGCGGCTGAGAAACAACAAGAGCGTGATTTTCAGCCACCTTGGCTACGACGACGTGGGGAATAAAAAAGAGGGGACGAGGTCCACCGACGACGACGACGGCGGCGGGGTGTCCCCGATACGTTCCCTCCTTAATCCTCATAAGATGTACGTGCGGCACATAGTAATTTACTTTATGAAGCTTTTCCAACGCCCGTCGAGGTCATCACTTTCTCCCTTTATATCGACCGGCGCGGCGGCGACGGTGGCCTCCCAGGACGGGCTCATAACCCGTAATAACCGAGAGACGACGCCGACGAGCAACGTCGACAATGATAAACGTCTTTACTTGCCACAACGGCGAAAAGACCGGCACAGGACGCCGCGCCGCGCCAAAGAAACGACGGAAGAAAACGCAAAGATATTACAACCCCCGAGGACTGTCCAATCATCCACCGCCGGGACGAAGGGAAGAGGAGCAGAGGAAGAAAGGCCGTGGGACGTGTCGACGATATGGAGTAAATTATAAGTCGAATGGTATCGATTTCCAACCACCCACCCTCCTCGCTCTTCTACCCTTTCCAAAGTCAATTACGAGCGACACCCGTCGAAATGGGGACGCACCCTGATGCGCTTCGTGAACGACGATGTGAAGCGACGATTTCCCAACGTGGGTGATACATTTCCTCAGCGCGGAGACCACGCCACGTATTTGCGTGATGCCAGGAGAGATAAAAATTAGTGGAGCACAAGCAAATTTCTAAAGGGGCCGCAGACCCGTTTTTTTTCGTTCCAAACAACAGCGACCCGCATGGGGCAGAAATGCGCGGTTAAATGACGCAAAAAGGCGGGACCGTGGGAAAAGGGGCTGGAAAACGTCGGGGTGAGCACTTACAGCGACAAGTGAAAAGAAAAAAGGAAACGGAAAAAGAAACAGCTTTCGCGCAGCATCCTTCCATTGGTATGGAAGATTGCGATATGATACGATCCTCTGTTCAAAAAAGAAAAAAAAAACGAAAAAGAAAAGAGATGTTACCGCGATACGTCATTGTTCGATATGTTAATACGAACGAAAACAATCTATTCTGATGGGAATTGCCGCTTCGCGAGAGACATTTTTCATTTTCGCGTGTAAATTTATTTTACTCAGAGGGAACGGCGCTTATTCGCGAATCCAAACTTCAAACGCGTTCAAGTTCTCTCTCTCTCTCTCTCTCATAAATCTATCTGTACACGCATAGATACAGAGAGAAGCTCGCCACAATTACACCATGCAATCCTGGATCTTTCAGTTCACGCGTCTTCGTGACCCGTGAATACGGGTCATACACGCCTATTTAATTGCACTGTTTAACAATTCAATGCCATGCAACGCATAATAAACGAACCGAGTACACCTTGATCAAACAAACGTTAGCGAAGCTGTCGCGATCACGCCCAGTTCGCTTGACGTTGTCGCTCGATCATTAACCGGCACGTGAACGCATTTACATCAAGATTGTATTTCGCTAATTAATTATACGTTACAGTTACATAGCCGCGAGTCAATCATCGAGTCATGCTTGCATTCACTGGTCGCCTCTCCCCAGGCGGAATTAAAAAGCGTCGTTTACCGTTGCCCGGCGAAAAACGCCCGACGTAACGCTGATATTCGTCATGTTATATTCTCCTCCTTCTCCTCCTCTCTTTCCCTCTCCCATTTCCTCTCTTCCTCTTTCTTTCTCTCTTTTTATCACGCAAAAAAAATGTAAATCGTGGATGAAACTGGATAAATCCATATTCATGCGAGCGTACCTACATCCGCGTGAGCATAACTCCGCGATTAAGCCAAAAATTAAACTTCTTTCGCGTGAAAAAAAGAGCGTGTATTTTGCAGCGTTAACACGATTCTCCTTTAAACGCGTCCCATTTCATAATCGGAAATAACGATAGATTTTTTCCTAATAAGTAATAATAGATTCCTTGTCTCGCGTGTCTCATCCGAGTCGATTGCGGAGAGACAAGATATAATCATTGTTTTTTCAAATAACGCCGCGTTCATGCGCTTCACCATCGACGACGACGACGATGACGACGACGACGATACCCAACAGGCGCAAAAATCGAACTTGCGACGCTCGTCTTCTGGTATCGAACGAAGTGCACGAACTCATAAATAACCTTAATTTACACTCGATGAAAAAGTCGGTAAAAAGTCTCGCTTTTGCCGCGGGTCAAAAGTGCATTAGCAAGATTATACATATATCGCTCCTTGCGCGCCGCAGGAAAGCACTTTTTGCTTGCGGAGCACCGGCGGAGACTTCGGTGAATATACCAGAGAACGTATTCGATAAATGACATGTTGTAAAAAAAGTCTATCGTGCATCTATCGCGCGTCGTTCGATATTGTCATAAATAATTATATGGGAGATATACCGAGAACGGCGCGATGAGATTAGCGAATGCCAACGGCGGCATCTCGCCGACAGAGAAGAAATATCGATACATTTGTTATGGATAGTGATGGTGATCAGTGTTGCTAGAGAGAACTATTAGATTGGCAGAAACAATTCAGTAATCGTCGCATGAATGTTGATTTCGGCAGTTACGCCGATGCACATAAAATTACAGTTCTATTCCCGTATAAACACACGTAATATCCACACAAGCGCTCGCACGTGACTCGATATGGAAAACTTTACACCGAAAGTTCTCTACACCGGGTGAGAAAGAAATACATTTTATGCACAGAAAATAACTTATCCTTTTTTTGCTTTTTTATTTTAAAAAATTCTCGCGCGAATATTTAATGTCTTTGCACTATCGAAGTCTATAAAGTGAAGCTACGTGCACGTGAACATTTCTCAATTCGATGAAAAGGAAACGTACAAAAAATGCAGTTTTTTTCGACACGCTGTAATCCATATTCCGATAACATTTGAGCAAATTCTTTTTTTCCGCTTTTGCACGTCGCGTTATATTTTCGCACATACACATGTGCGTTCTCACAGGTCGATTGAAAGTATCCCGTTTTCACAGGTCGATTGAAAGTATCCCGTTCTCACAGGTCGATTGAAAGTATCCCGTTGTCGTTCTCGCCTCGCCTGTTTCCGGAGTTTAGCAAGTGCAAGTTCCTTAAATAATTTAATACTTTGCTTGTTTGGATCGCGTCTTCCTTGTGTTTGGTTCCGACGTTTCGTGAACATTTCGGCTCACTTCTTCAGGGAGCAGGACGATTTAAAACTGCCGCTTTCTTGCGAGTTATCTTTTTTTATAAGAGATTCTGGTGATTTGGGGTGGAAGATGAAAAGAGGGCACAGTGAAGAGGTCAAGGCGATAATAGGTCGAAAGAATGTGTAGTCATAAGTGGATATACAATTATCCCACGCTGCGGGATAAGCCTTTCTTGAAAACTAGGAGAATGGTTTGCTAAACAGAGCTAATCCGCTATCCCTGTTAAGGTTATTTGGACGTTTATAAATAATTCCTTATGTTTTCTTGAAAAGTAGGCGTTAGTTTTGGCTAAAACTACTGTTTGGTCAAATAGAATTTCATGTCCTGTTTCTATCTGATATTCTCATAATGCAGATTGTGTTACGTATTTTAGCCTTACTGTCGATTGATATTCTTCTAGGCATATGCTAAATATCCTTTCGATTTTTCCCATATATACTTCTTAAATAATTTCCGAACCATCATCTTATTATTACCAACACGTGACTCTTTCGTTTTTTTCTTGGTTCTTAGCAATCGGAGTCGCCGATCTGACCCTGAACCGCTCCCCGGAGGATTACAACTCGACTCGACTCGACTCGAGGCAACGCGTGATGTCCGACAGTCATATAGAGTGCAATGTGCAACGCGACGGTATTGTATCACAGTATATCAGCGACATCGTTGCTCGATAGTGATGTAGAAATCACGCGAATTTCGCAAACAATCGACGCCGATGCAATCGTATCTCGCTCCTCTAATCTCACCGGCGAGAACGCGTCCGTCTCAGCAAGTGACATCCAACTGTGTTTGATCAACCGGTCGACGCGCTTCACGATAGTCAACAATATTTTTAAAACAAGTATTTCACGTTGTGTTGTGTCGGAACCAACGTTGTTGATACGGCACCGCCGGAAGTTCGTATGAATATTCAACCGACGGTACGCGACGCAGTTTCACGTCGCACGCTCGTAGGCATAGCGCGAAAATCGGCACGACGCGCGATCTCCGAAGGTTTTTCCCGTCTTTCTTTCTTTTGCTTCATGAATCTTGGGTTATCGGCCGGATGAGAAAGTAAGAGGGAGGGAGTGCGCGGATTCCCGAGGAGATATGTCGCACGATTTGAACTCGTCGACGACGACGTCGTCGTCGTTGTCGCTGAACTCTGAGCAGACACAGGCGGACGCAAGGGACGAAAATCTCGCCAGGTGGGAAATCGCAGTGCTGACCAGCATATTTCTCATCACCCTCATCGGTAACATACTGGTCCTACTCGCGCTCTACGCCAAAAGACACTACCAGCGACGTAAGCTCACCAGGATGTACTTCTTCATCCTACACTTAAGCATTGCCGACCTGTTGACGGGTCTGCTAGACGTTCTACCGCAGCTCGCCTGGGACATAACATTCAGGTAAGCTGCACCGTCACGACCGACCTCATGGTTCTTTAATGAGCCTCCGCTGTGGCCGATACGTGTACTTCTGGTTGATGGCGCGAACGGGAAGTGCGCTCGGACATTTCGTTGCGTCGCGTTGATAAATATTCCGATCGATAAACGATCCGGCTATCGTTTTCGCAAGTTTCTTCATGAAATGTGTCGCGACGAGATAAGAATGCAAATCGGATGTGTTCATAACCAAATTAACCAATATCTTTTCCGACAATCGTTAATCATTTCGTATATTCAGGCTTTATCATATATTAAGTCCTATTATAGAAACATCGAACACTAAGTATTTACAGAAAATAAAAATAGTGTACATAACCAGAAGTAGTAGCATAATTGCATCTAGTTATCTTTGATGTGTGATGGTAATGTGTACGATAGATATGACTCAGTTGCTTTGGTACATCAACTACATAAATATAATTAATCTGAGTTGCGGTAACCAGAAATCGGTTGAAGTGACATTTACCATGGACACACTCCGGTTGGAGCAACCAGATATCATTACTGCTATAACGCCAGAACCAGCAATTGTTCTGTGGTTGCAGCAACCACAAAATTAGATGTTCTGTATTTTAATATCGAATCTGGTTGACACATCTGTCTTTTCCATGTATGCCTACCTGAGCTCTCAAACTCAAACAACGCTCATGTGATGCTCATATAAAAGAAACGGAATTAAAAGGGCATACGTAACATTCGCTATGCGTTCGGAATAAAGTTTGAGGAGTAGCTTTTGACGGAGCGATGTGAGCGAGCCGAGAACCGAACTAACGATGACGAAACGACATCAGATTTCAGGGCGGAGCAGTGCTCTGCAAGCTGATCAAGTTTAGCCAGCCATTCGGCGTGTACCTCAGTTCTTATATCTTGACAGTGACCGCGATGGACAGGTATTACGCTATTTGCTATCCCTTCAATTACTGCAGCGCCACGTCTAAGAGATCGAAAACGATGGTGTACGGCGCATGGGTGCTTGCCGCTGTGCTTTGCGTGCCGCAGGTTCGTAGGGAATTTCATACATCTCTCTGTTTCCCTCCTTTGAGAGAAAGAGAGACGCATGTCTTATTCATGTTTTGCTCCTTGTTCTGCTCTGCCGCGAGCAGCAAGAGACCAACGAGATCGATTCACTTGAGATATTAATTTTTATCCCGTGTAGACAGCGGGAGAGAAGCGCTGATACCGTCGGCGTCGCTGATTTATGATACTAATTGCACGTACTTGCTTATAAATGCATGGATGCATTAACAGAGAAGAATTTGTTTCACGAATTTCTTAATATTTTGACAGTTTCTATCGCATTCGTTAAAAGCGTTATCTTAAATGCGCAATTGATTAAGGCTCCTAGTCTCACTGCTGCGGAACTCTGAATTGATGATGATGTCAGCTTAAGCCGATTGCTTAAGCATACTTATAAAGTGCTTCAAAAGCTTTTTCTTTAACAGTCAATAAATAACTTTGAAATTTTTAAGCATGCCTAATCAATCTGAAGTGTTTTTTCATTCAAATATCTTTTTCATCTTCTCGCTTTTGACGTCATTAATCCAGGATTCCATAGCAGTGAGACCAGGAGTCTCAAAGAAATCTTAAACTCTATTACAGATCTTCATATTCTCATATCAAGAAATATCGCCGAATGTTTGGGAATGTTGGGCTACGTTTCACATGAAGTATGGCGAAAGGGCTTACATCACCTGGTAATGCATTGAACAACGTAACCAAGTTTTAAGCGCAACGTCTTCTACAGCGCAAATTTAATTACAGGTACAGCGTGACGCAGTTCCTATTGCCTTTCATCGTGTTGGTGTATACCTATCTGAGGATATGCTTCTCGATATGGACAAGTAATAAGATGTCGGGAGCGGTCGATCTGAAGAGCAAGAAGAGCAATAAGGTCAGTTTCTCGCAGCGAGATCGCGACCCAGTCATCTCCAAGGCACTGATTAACACCGTGAAACAAACGATCGTCGTGGTCACTCTTTACATCGTCACCAGCACGCCTTTTATCGGATGCCAGCTCTGGTCGACGTGGGATCCCAGTGCCAAGACTTCGCCGTTTTTCACCGGTAAGTATGTTATATAAGAATCTCATCGACATTACAATGAGGAAATGAATCGGAGAAGCGACATTAGCAATTACAATAATAATGACTTCATCAATGAAATGCTATCACTAAAATACGAACTCTATCACGTCGATGGCAGAAGATTGCGCTTCTCATTTTACTTTTCAATTCGATTTGGTATCTCGAATCCCGAAACTACGAATTATTCGTGAATCCTCACTGCGTTTGCGGCTATATTTTACACGATGCAATTTGCAGGAGCTGCCTTCACTATTCTAAGTCTGTTAAATAGTCTCACGAGCTGCGTCAATCCTTGGGTTTACTTCGTGTTCAACAGCGAGTTGCGCGGCGCACTGATGAGCTTCTTTTACAACAGGAACGATTATTCGTTGCCCTACGGTAATCGAAACTTCTCATCTTAGCGATCGATCTCATCGAACTGCATAATATCGTTACAATGCTTTGTATCGCCGTTTTCTTTCAGACATCGCGCAACAGAACGCGTCGGACGAACCTTCCACCACGTCGTCGTTTATCTCCAGAATCTCAAAGATATTTGGATGAAAACGACACGAAATAAAGTTTGCATTTTGAGAAGGACTGTTTTGAATATAAATAATACAGTGTGAATAGTTGATGCGCAACACATACGCACATACACACATACATACTATATACGCCTACAAATGCATAAACGCGTTTGATACGACAGCGTCAAGACGCACGATTACTTTGTACGAGAATTTCTTAATGAAATTTGTTGATAAAACATGTTTACTTTGTCATTCCTTCCAGTCGTCCGCAAACGAAAAAGAGAGAAAAAAAGAAATGCCTCCTTCACCAAAATATTTTACAACAATTAACCGAGCGCGCACAAAAGTGACACACACACACATACATACACACACACACACAAGAGATAACCACTATCAATTTTTTTTTTCTTTTTTTTCATCACTCGAAAACGCTTCGACGATGTCCAGAGCTCTCGTATTTTCACGGAACGTTCCACCCGGTGAAGTTGCCGTTCGTGTAATTGCGTCCGCGAGTCTTTCTTCCTTCCTCTTTTTTCATTTTCCTTCATATTCGTAATTCCCGTCGCGCATCTCCGCCCACGTGCGCCATTCTTCACGATCTGTTATACTTAACACGGTTCCACCTCATTAGTATTTCCATCGGTCGGGCGTCTATTATGTCCCGATGTTTGTACCCCCATTTTTATCCCGATCATCCCAGAGGCTCTCACACTTATGCTAATGCCACATGGTACACAAAGTATTCCGGTATATCCCATATCTCCATTTCATCCGTTCGACTCTTCAAGAAGAACTCTTGTGTCATTCGACAGAAAAAAAGCAGAATTATTCGCGACACGAGAAAAAGAAAGAGAGAAAAAGAGAACAACCTTTACTCTCTCTCTCTCTCTCTCTCTCTCTCTCTCTCTCTCTCTTCATCGAGCCGCGATACATTTCTCTCTTCGCCGCGATCACTTAAGGTGATGACAAATTGAGAACCCCGGGTGGAACACCTGAATACTTAATCAACGGATAAAATTAACATTAATAAAACGACTGTCTGTGGCCGATCCACATCTTATCCGAGGACAAACACGGTACAAACGCTAGAACCACGTGATATACGCCTCACGACGAGACCACAGTGAGAAATACAGCAGTGTTCGTCAGTTTTTCACGTCGTTTCTCATCGGTGCGTCGATGGACGACACCAGGATCAACGACGAAGTGCCGTTCACGTTGAACCGAGTAACGACCAGGATGGAGCGGAATTCAGAGGAGTATCGCGGCGAACCGCTGAAGAACGAGGTATGATTTATTTGACGTGATCACGTCACTAAGAGAGAATTGACACCTTGACAGAAAGGTAAAAAGGTAGAAGTCAATCAGAACTTGCGTTGCTAGAAAAGCAGAAATTGTTAACTGTTTCCTGTAATTGATTTTTAATCTTAGAGCCATCGATACTACTTTTGTATAACAAATACAAAAAATCACTATAATTTTAGTTAAATCAACTATTTTTTCTCCTAGTGCAAACTCATTGAAACACTTGTGTTTCAGTCGGAAAACGAGAGCAACGACGAGGACTACACGCGTTCGCCGGTATTGCTCGACCTCGACGAAAACACTAAGCAGCAGCAGCAGAAGGCCGCACGTCGGGAAGCGAATTCGCCGAATACTGTACCCGCGGTGCGGGATCGACGTTTGCAGGATCAACTGACTCCGTCAGGTAGGTCTTCGACAAGATATGCGTCAAAATATGGAAGGGAAAAAAATTATCCGCGCTCGATACGTGTCAATTAAACACAATCGCTGTGACGCGCGAACGTCTCCATATATAATCAATCCTTTCAGTTATTGTCCTTTTTCATTTGTTTTGTGAGTTTGATATGTAAGGGCTATCGCACACAAATTGACATAACTGCATATGCATAGCATAAGATCGTATGGACCAATGAGCATCGAATATTAAGCATCGAACACCAATATGGCGACTTAATACTCGATGCTCATTGGTACATACGGTCTTATGCTATGCATATGCAGTTATGTCAATTTGTGTGCGATAGCCCTAACGCTCGGCGATAAATAGAATCGCATCGTTAATCGTGCGTCTCGTTGCCACAGACGAAACGACAACAACTTTGACGACACGATCGCAGCCTCTACGAGGTGGCAGATGGCAAGGAACGGGCTACGAATCGGCACGCCAACAGAATCCCGAGGGAGTGCTCGTGATCAGAGTGCCGGAGCCAGAAATAATCGGCAGTCACTCGCAGCTTGAAATGCTCCACGAAACCAATATTAAATCGGTGCAGCAGGAGCCCTCGCAGACTGAGAAAGGTGCGGCAATATCAAATTGCGCATCGCCTGGTGAGACCACATTCATCCTCGATTAGACTAATTTAAGTATCTTAGCGGAAAAATCACGCGAGACACGACGTTAATGATTGGAATCCAATTTGTTCGGACGTGATCTCAATGACATGTATATTGCACTCAGAGAAAAAAACATGGTGATGGCAGGTGTACAGGTGACGACTATGCAAGTTTTGTATGTAGAATTGTAATGTATATAGTTTAATAAACTATTTTGTAGTTGTTCTGTTACGGATACATACTTTTCCTAAATTTAAAATAAAATTTTATCACGTATTGTTCCAAGAATTTTTTCATGACAATGGAAAATAAACACGCAACACAAGAAACGACGTAACTTCTAAAATACAATACACGCAAGCTGATAAAATTTGATAAGATTGTAAAGAAATCTTAGTAGTAGATAATCTGGATATTACGTATTTCTTTTTAAAAAATCCGCCTTAAAACTTTATAATCACACCGTGTAGTTGTCATTACCATGTTTTCCTCTTAGTATACTGCGAATACCCTCAGGGCGATGGGATCAAGTTTATCAAGTCGTTTAGTTTCGCGAAACCACTTGTTTCTCTCTATATCTCGTGGACTCGTTGTTTTTCCGTGGAGCTTTTAACAGAGAGGGCTGCTCAATTGTCCCAGTCGAAGGGCTTGATCGGTGACGCTCGCGACGTTCTTCGCGAAGGGCAAACGCGAACGCAACTCTTGTTCCAACAGTGCGACTCGCAAATTTTTATCGCGTGTTCGTTGTATCTGCCGCAGGATCGAAGAACGAGGCTCTTCTCGTTGCCATCGCTGTCGTGACTTATTTTCCGCCGCGTTCCTGCGCCTGCTCTCGTTCCTGCGAAATACGCGAGGAGAGTTGTGAATATAAATTCGAGGGGAGAAACGTATGCGCATTTCGGAAAGAGCCGGCGAGCTATTTTCGCGTCACGGCTCTGTATTCAATTTAGGCTTCACCGGCACATTTTTATACCGACGTTTGCTCGCATCGCCGTTTCGCCTGGCGCGACGTTTAAAGTTATTTGTAGACGCGTATCTTGTCTGGCTGTGTACTACGTAGCTATATATGTACGTGCGAGTGATCTCGCACGAACTCAATTTGCAACAACTCAAGGGTCCGCGAAAGCGCACGATCAGTCAAAAACGCATTAACTTCACGTCTCTCGAATTAATTGAAACACGGAAATCTCGACCAAAATGGCAAATATTTGCGTTGCGTCAATGACAGTCCTCTAATAAGAGTTTCTTTCGAGTTCTACTCGGGTCAAAAAATTCGCAAACCTCACGTCTCTTAAATTAATCGAAATCACACGGGAATTGCCGATTGCCATTAAGCTGACATTACGGCGTTACGTCAATGACCATCTTCTAATAAGAATTCTCCTCGAGTTCCACGGAGCTCCTCTGGAGATGCATTCTCCCTGAGCCATCCTAGCTGTACCTGTACGCGTGAGTCGCGATGTAGCCGTTGCTGACTCTCTTCAGGCGTGCGCCGGCATCGACACCAGTTCTTCTGCGCGCTTTACGGCTTCCGTCGTCTCTCGAGACGCGCTTGACATGTTGGCCGTGACGCTTATTGCCGCTGGGCGAGACGCGATTCGTCGCTTCCTTAGCGCCCATTCTGCTACGTTTACCCAGGATCTTGGCGAAAAACTGCAAAATTGTTTTCCCGCCGTCCTTCCACCAGCTGCCGCCGCTTTTCCCACCTTCGGTCTCGACCGTGCCCCGATCGCCGTAGCGCTGTTTCCGGTCGACGCTCTGGTGCCCGCGCTCCGGCCGATTTCCTCGCAATTTCTCCTTGCATACGGTCTCCCGCGTGTTCTCCTGATGTTCCTCTTGGGCCCGCGGAGACTCGATTGATCGCTCGGAATCGCCCGGGACCGTCGTCGCGATGTCTTCCTGCCACTTCGTCGAACACGTCGAGTCCTCCGGAAATTCGATGACCTCCTCAGTCTCCACGCAGATATCCTGACATTTCTTCTCCTCTTTGAAATTGGGAGGAATTAATTATTTGTGTCTCTGACGCTATGATCGTTATTAAATCAATCTTACAAGTTCAACTTACTATTCGACTTATATTGTTGATCACTGTTGATGCGTGCGCGTCTCAGAGACGCATTAATTATATAGGAAAGAACATTTGCAACATTGCACCTAATTGCTAATTATTTCTTACTCTCAGCTCCGAGATTGTCGCACTCGACAAACGCCACTTCGATCGAGCTTTGCTTCGATTCCACCATTTTGCCGCGGTCTCGACCTTGCTTCGTTGCCCCAGCTCCAGAATTCGGCTTCGTATCGTCCACGTGGAGAACCTCCGAGGTCGGCATCACGCGCATCACCGCCATTCTCTTGCGTGTGTATGGCAAAGGCAATCGAAAGTACCGCGCTTCATTCAACCTCGTCCCTTTTCGCGTACGAATAAAATATTACCTTCAAGACCACATCGCATTTTTTGCACGTCGAGATCGCTGAACTTTAGCCTGCCCGAAAGCGTGAAGTCAAAAGTAAAGACGGATCGCCACGGTAATAATTGAAACCATGAAACGCATAAAGTCTGATTAAAATAAAGCCGCGATCTTAGTCATTTCCGGCTTCGTTTTAGCTTTGTTTCTAGAAAATGACGAAGAATCGTCTAATCCTCGGTTGGCAGTAACTAACGACGTGAGAACGACCTTACGCGAGTTATCATTACGCCGCCTAACAGCATCAACAAATTAGAGTGGAAAAAAGCCGATTATCTCGAGACCGCAGCCAGGAGAACAGATTGCTGCTTTGCATTTTAGTTTTTCTTGTGGTTTTCTTGGACTCTTATGGTACAAATAGCCTCTTTTTATTGCCGCGTCGATTGAAGTTTTGTACAAGACGGGACGTCCAACCGCGGTATACGCGATATATGTGATATAATTAAGCGTTACGTAATTATTGATTTCCGCGAGATGAACTAGGAAGCTAGTGGCGTAGTTGGAGTGCATTTTGCAGCAGAGCGATTCCGCGCGCGTGGCTGCAATTCCAGTTACAAATCATACGTTTGCAAACGAGTTTAAGACACTTATCGCGCATCATCGTTCCAGCGATTTTACGTTAAATATTTCTCAATATAATCGCGGCCGATGGTGCCGGGAAAAAGCCAATTCTCGGACGAGGTGAGTCGCACCGCTGTCAATAGCTCCTTCGCGGATCGACAGCACAATTTCCCCGCGAGACACGTTGTTGACACGCAGAGGATAATTGCGTGCATAATTACCATACGCTAACGCAAACTGAATTCCATTGAATGATAAACCGTGCGATTAACCAATAAATTAATACGCTACGATTGTTGCTACAATTATGTGCGATGGGAAACTGTGAGCTCGCAATTACGCACTGGAAAATCTTATATCCTTCGTTTTTAATTAACACATAAATCGCTCTGGTATTTAACCTTTGCGGCTCGCTCTTACGCTCGTCATCTTCGAGCGCGCGTCGATTTCGTCCGAGAAACGCTTCTATCCAAGGACAAGGGAAATCAGCGGTACTTCACGGTGCAGTCTTCAGTCTATTTTTCTCAGACATTTTATAGAATGAACATTCGAAATTTATGCTCGTAATATCCGCGTGTTGTTCGTGTCGACACATAGAATAAAGGATCACGCTTAGTCCTTCTTTGTTTTTCCTTTCTTTTTCTTTCTGAATGTCTCTCGAATAAGTTCTCGAGGATTCCGACTCGATAAAAATTAGTCGCACTCTCGCAACGATCGCTTGTAATACGTAGGTAACTTAAAAGAGGAAAACCTTCACCGCGATATTCATTTTTACGGAAGTACCTCTCGTATTTTTCTAATCCCCCGCCTCGAGGCTAAAGTTTATACGTGTAATTTGTCAGAGCTCCATCCGGCAGCTGAAGCGTCCTTCGGAAAAAGTTGGATTTCAGCTCGCTCGCTCGCTCGATTCGTTCGAGCAAGTTGCGCTCGCGCGACATTACGTCGTCGTCGTCGTCGACAACGACGAATACGCGGCCGAGCAAGAACCGTCGTTAACCCGCGGGTGTAATTAACGATTTCAGACTACAAGAAGTCGGCGTGTGATCGCGAGCGCACTCGCATGCGCGACATGAATCGTGCATTTGAACTGTTGCGATCGAAGCTACCGATCTGCAAACCGCCCGGCAAGAAACTCTCCAAGATCGAGTCGCTGCGGCATGCGATTACGTATATCAGACACTTGCAGAGCCTGTTGGAGCCGCAATACGGCTACACGATGCCCAACGTGCCCAATGACCGATCTATAGTTAGTGGTAGTAACGGCGGTAGTGGAGGAGGCAGCGGAGGTTATTACGCGACCGCACCACCAGCTCCACCGACGTCTTACGAGGTACAGCATCCTACCCGATGGGAGTCTTTGGCGTATTACCGGTACGATTATCACGCACCGTCCTTTGCCACCCCGTCCCCGCCGACCTTAGTGTCACCCCTGCAGCCGAGGCTACCGATTGACCAAGACGAGCGACAGTTTCCTTACGAGACAAGACATTAGCTCGCAATATGAATCAACATCTTGAGATTATTCTAAAGGATTCTTTGGGGATGATATGGAGAATGCTTCGAGAAATTCGAGGAAGTCAGAGGAAGAATTGGACGGTTGCAAACCTGAGAGTGGAGCAAAAAAAGAACGAGTGTGCGAGTGTTTGTTAATTATTTGTAGAGACTGAACCAGCAGTTCTTTAATCTCTCTTCGTCACGCCGGAATATATATTATTTTCGCAAAGTTATTATTAATTGGAGAATAGAACGTTTTTAGGAACCATTATCCTGAATGCCGGCGACCCCCACAATCAGGAAATTAAAAAGCAGTGTGTCACTGTTCCATTGTCAATACAGTCATAATTGCTATCGCGAAATTTCACAGATCGATAAGTTTGAAATTGCGATCATAGACGATGCACAAAAACAAACATGATCGATTTCTATCATCGAATGATTTGTATTTTGTCATTGAAAATGACTTACCTACAGATATATAAACGTACGAAAATATCTTTCTGCTTCGAAACGGGAACTACTGCACAAAATCCAAAATATCCTATCGTATCCTATCGTGTCCTATCATATCGCACGAAGTCCATTATCAGAGCACTGCTACGTCGTTCTCGTAACGTGTCCATCGTCGGAACGTCCAAATAATTCTTTCCTATCGCATACTTAACACAGCCACTACTGTAGTGGCTAAATAATTATATTATATTTTGTCTGCTGCGCCGTATTGGGCGGCGTGGTGGTGGGATGAATGTGTAACGGAAGATCCCAGATCATCGTCTCGACGTCCAACGTGGACGGTCCCGTCCAACTAGTAGTGCTCTCGTTTGGCATCTCCACTAGCTTTGGCGTTGTGACAAATTCAAAGTGCAGTCGCCATTTGAGTGTCACCAAATCGGTGGTGAAGTCTGGCGTGACGTGCAGTGGTATAGGTAGTACCAAATGCGAGTACTTAAGACCCAGGCACATTTCATGATGCTTGTTGTAGCTGACGAGAGTGGGCGCAGTAGCCTTTCCGCGTCTGTACTCTTCAGAAACGTGTTCTTCTGATTGCAAAGACACAGACACTTGAGCGCACGACACGGTCGCGTTCGAGAAATCGAACGTCCCGACTATATCTTCGCCGAGTTTGTAAGAGTTTTTAAAGAGGCAGAATCGTACCACACGGCCACGGCCATTCGTTACATTATAGAAATTTGGGCTGCGTCTGGCTGTCAAATTCTGCATTTAAAAAAACACATAATTAATATAGTTAGTATAGAATAGAAAAGAAAAAATAGTATAGAATAGTTTAGAAAAATCATTGAAATACTAAATCTTACAAATCAATTTTAATAAATACAATGAAGAAAATACCTGCAGCGTTTGTAAAGCAATATCTAAGGGAGTTTCTCTGTGCTGTGTTTCCATGAACGGATTATTTGGACTCAAATCTACGCTGTCATTGCATGCCATTATTTCTGGCAATTCTGTAAAACACAAGCAGTAGATATTAAATATTTCTGTTGTTTATATTTATCAAAACTTATATAATCTTTCAAAGTTGCGCATAGTTTTAAGATCCTAATATCTATTAATAAAATGCAATGTAAATATTATATAAATGAATCTATTTATTATTAACTTGAACAAAAGTTACTAAAAGTAAAGTACTAAAAAAAGTACTAAAAGTATTGTGTATTCGGATATAGATAAAAGAATATTTTCTATTTAAGATACAAAGACTTACCACTCAAAGATAGCACTCTAAAAGGTACGCGTAATAGTTTTATGGCTGTATTCACTCTTTGCGTTCCAATTGTGATCTTATAAGAATATTTTACAGCTTGTCCTCTGTATGATGGTGGAGCATCACTAGGTATTGTTTCACGGTAGATGTCTGGTAAAATAAATTTATTAAATATATAGCAAAATATATGAGATTATCACAATATACCACTATCATTACCTACAAGTTTTATTTTCACCAGGTGACAATCTTAAGTCACAAAACAAGATCTTCGGCTTAGTATTCAATACTACGTGTCCATTGTCTTGTTGCCATGGTGCAAATGTAGTATCTGCAATAAAACAATACAAATATATATATTTATATATATCTCAATAAAATAAAATACAAAATATTAAAATAAGATTCTTCTAAAGACATACTTGCATTGATTGCCACTGAACGAGCTGTGGTATTTATTTTCTCCGAGAACACCGCTTTACTATTTGTCGAACATTGACAATGGACTTGTGCACTTGCCCAAGCAAGACTTTCAAACAGATCACTATAAAAAGTAAAAAAGATTGGGGTTAAGAATGTTAAGAGTTATAATGTCTTATTGATAGAACTTTGTCAATTAACATACCTGTGACTTTGTGATATCTGATGTATAGGATTTGGTGGGTTGGTGAAAGTAACCAAACATTCTATAATTTCTCCGGAGAAATATACAGGACCACGAACGAGTTTTGCTGTAATCTCTATCATACTGATTTCAATTAAATTCTCTTCTGTACGTCTATTATCTCTCACTTTCTCTCTTAATTTATAACTCCAGGAACCTGATAAGGCAAATATTCCACTAATGGATGTTTAAATATTAAATTTTATAACTTTTCCAATCCAAAGTATATACAATAACAAAAAATCACAGATCACGTCTGAACAAGTTCAAACACTTTTCTACATCACGGCGATTTAACTGGAATTCAGGTCTATTTACTAACTTCAAACAATTGATCAACATATGTACTTGTAAGCACTGTGGCCAGAAATCTCACCCAGTAGCACTGGTAGTATTGAAAAGAGATGACGCACCCAAACGTGCCCATGTCATGTGCGCTCTGAACTTAATCGGAGCGCACATGTATACAGGCACGTTTGTATGCATTATCCCCTCTCGATACTACCGATGCTACTGGGCGCAGAGAGAAACCTGAGAGCGGCCACGCCATACATTTTGGCCGACACTGATTTTCATGCTGTTCGATGCGCCATCTGTACCCATTTTTGAGGTGAACTACGTTTTCTACGCCCATTTTCAGACACGGCCGGTAAAGTGTCGATTTGTTGCATGTCCATTCTATACCCATTTTCTGGCGATTCGCGTCCGTGCTAAACACATAATTGCGTAGTTGAAAACATGGACTGTCCATGCGCAATTATGCGATGTAGAGAACGTAGTTCCATCTAAAAAATGGGTGCAGATGGCGCATCGAACAGCGTGAAAATCGGTGTCGGCCAAACGTATGGCGTGGCCATTCTCAGATTTCTCTCTGCTGAGTGTGATTTCTGACCACACTACTTCCCGGAGCCAATAAAATGAAATGGAATAGCACACTGCTTGTGAAGACCGTATCAGACTACGGATTAAGATCAAAATTGAATTGAAAATTGGTCAATCAGAGCAAAGTTCACCAAACTTGAGCTTAGTGAATTTTGCTCTGATTGGCTAAATTTCAATTCAATCTCAATCCTAATCAAAGGTGTTTTTTCGTTTGGTTGGTTAGTTTGGTCCACTTAATGCTCACAACGCCGCGAGCGTCATTCTATCTTTGTTGCTCGAGACGTTGCGAGCGTTAAGTGGACCAAACCAACCAACCAAACGGTATCGGATGCTTTCCAATTGCTTAACACATCTTGACACACACGTACACAAAACCAGTTTATTAGTCACATATTATCTAAAATATCTTGTAAAATAATATGCAACCAATAAACTGGTTTTGTGTAACATAGTGTACGCAACTGAAAAGCACCCATCGTGGTCACAAAACGCCTCAATAATCTGATACGGGCTTTATAGCTCCTGCACACAGGACGCGGTAATGCTTGCCGCGTGGCGGAAGTTCGCGCAACAGCCAATTAATATGCTGCTTTCCGTAATAACCTTCTAGCTCTTACGGAAAAAGAACATATTGATTGGCTGTCTCACGGACTTCCGCTGCGCGACAAGCATTACCGCGTCCTGTGTGCAGGAGATATTAGGCTTCTCTTTAAAGGTCATTCTATATTAGTTGCAAGTCGATTGCATTCTTATTGCGATAGCCAGAAGCGTCAGTAGCACCATTGATGCTTCTGATTGGCTGTCGCAATAAGAATTGCGTCTGCTCGCGATCGGCTTGCAATTAAAGATGTTTTTTCGTTCCATAATCAAGGTAGCGTTTGGTTGGTTAGTTTGGTCCACTTAACGCTCGCAACGCCGCGAACGTCATTCTATCTTTTGGAAGATTCACATCGCGTCCGATGTCCGACGTCCGATATCCAATAGGAAAACAGCTTTCCAATGGAGAATTGAATTCTTTATTAGAAAGCTGTTCTCTTATTGGATATCGGATGTCGTACGTCGAAAATCGGACACAGTGTGAATCCTGCATTTGTTGCTCGAAGCGTTGCGAGCGTTAAGTGGACCAAACCGACCAACCAAACAGTATAGTGGTCACGAAATGAAAAAACGCCTCAAAGGGAGAACGACCTTTAAAGATCGTTCTCATTAATTGCAAGCAGCCAATCGCATGATCGCAAGCAGCCAATCGCATGATCGCAAGCAGCTCTATTTACGGTTGTAAGTTATAGCATGTTTCGACTGGCTCTGTTTAGCCTACGTTTATTGGTCGAACAAGTACTTATAAACTTTATGATTGGTTAGTAGAGACTTATGACGTCATTAATCGTTCTCGAAGCGATTAACTCAAGGCCAGTCGAACACGTTATAATGTAGAACGACCTTAATATGATGTAGATTATTCCGCGTCGTTGGCAGTCTTGCGATTTAGTCAACATGGCCGTGTTTCGTGCATTAGTTTCGTTTGAGTACAACGAGGAATAGAAACTGAACTGACCGATGAAATGAGTTTTGGATTTACTCAAATTCGTATTTTTACTTTACAAAACGCACCGATATTGACATTGTTAATCGGGCAATGCATTGCTCGGTGCTTTAATATGTAAATGACGGTAAAACATCAAGTTGGCCTGAAATACTAGCTTCTGAAATTGCACATATTCCGTCGTAACTAACAAAATTGTTGTGTATATAATTCACTCAGATTTATTACTTAAGTATTAAATATCTCAATATATTTATATCGACTATTATAAGTCATATAATATTATTTAATATCTGTAATTGTTACATTTGTACAAACCATTTTGTATATATACACAACTCTCTAATTTTAACAGTGTATGTTAATATTTTCTTTCTATAATATTTTTCTATATTTTTCATCAACAGATAGAATTTCAATAAATTGGAGACTTTAATAATGGCAGAAGAGGAGAAGACACCTTTTTCAGGTAAAACAATCTTTTTATTTTGAATGTTACAAGTAATTTAACAGAATTAATCACTTATTAAATGACTGTCTTCTGTAATATATATAGAGAAAGATGATAGTTCCCAATCAAAAGATGTTTACATCCCAGAAGAATCAGCAGATGTTTCAATTTCTTTATTGGACATACAAATGCCAGAGACACCAGAGAGCACCAAGGGTCAAATAAGTGATGGTGATACACCAAGGTTAGAGAGCCCTAAGATGGTAAAACCAGTACTTGGTAAAGTTCAAGCCAAGAAACGATTGATGGCATTTGCTAAGAAGTTCAATGTTCTACCAAAAGTTAAGACCAATATATCTCAGCATTCCACGGGAGCTTTAAAAACAAAGGATAAAGTGGTACAAGAAGATACTAACACCAAGTCAAGAAAAAAACCAGGTAATGTAATAGAATATACACCTTTGTTTCTACAGTTATAAATTAGTGTAGCTTTAAATTTTTTATTGTAAGGCATCTAAAATAACCTGAAATATTTGTTTAGTTTTCTGTTAAAGTAAGAGGAAGGAAAAATATCTAAACTTGTCAAAAAATCTACACACACACATACACACACACACACATATATATATATATATATATATATATATATATATATATATATATATTAGAATATATTCTATTTTAAAACTCAACAATTAAAAGATTGCACACTTACTGATTCTTACATGGACTTCATAAAATTAATTTTTATAATTATATAGGAGAAAAAATTCTGGCTATTGAGGAAATTCGAAGGGAGGAATCTAAGAGTAAGATGTTACTGGCAGAGGCCATGGCAGCAGGTATTAATTAATAAATTACTTTTAATTAATAAATTATAGTTGTAACTGTATAATATCAGGCTTTCAATAACAAAAACTTTTTGTAGCAAGTATAGATGATGAGAATCAAATCGGAAAGCATATATCAAGTTCTGTAGTAGGTTTGAGACACACAAAAGAAAAGAATAGACACAATAAGCTAAGTGATTCTTGTAGAGATACAACTAAATCAACAATGGATCGGAAATATTCGGAAAGGTATAATAGTTTATATTAAACATATATATATATATATATTTAATTTTTATGCACATTCAATATGCAAATAATCTTCGGATTATTTTATTTTCTATATTCTAATAAATCTTAGAAAATTACTTTTAAGGCGTCGACAACGTAACAAAACTGAGAAAGATAGCTCGATCCGAGAAGTGAAAGATTGGAATGAAAGCGCGGATCGATTACCGCGAAAATCATCTCAAGATAAAGAGAAACATAAGAAAGACAAAAGGAAAAAAGTCGGTAGAGATAAACGAGACAATAGCAAGACAGACACGAGTCGCGATAGAAAAGAAGAAGGAAAGGATAAAAAAGAAAGTGAAAAGGAGAAACGAGAAGACACAAAAGAGAAAAAGAACGAGACGAAGAGTAAGAAAGAAAACACTAGAGATAAGCGAAATGATATCTCTGAAGTGGATGCGGAAAATAAGGATAAGAAGGAAAAGTGTAAAGATAATAGGAGCAAAGAAAAAGAATTAATGAAATGTAATTCTTGGGCGGAGATACGAAAATGTGGTTTGGACTTCAACGATATCATGCAATTTAAAAGACGCGATAATATAGAGCGATCATTGAGAAACAAGTATGATACATTTTTAACATACGAGATTTTAAGAATAAGATTTGAGATTTAAATGTATACGTGTTGATATGTTTCAGAACAGGGCAAGATTATACGCGTTACTTTGAGCAGATGTTAATGCTGAGTAATTACCGTCTAAAACGTCAGTCACTAGTTGCTGAGGGACTTGACGGGCCCAAAAAATATCCACCTGAATCGATAAAGTTAACGAAGCGAGCGAGGGGATCTCAAGTGTTGTATTGCGAAAATCCACGCGCTTCGCTCTTGTTGAACATTTCGCAGCTCCTGCCAATTGTCACTCCTGATCGTCGCGAGAAGATACGAGATATATGTGAAGCGACTTCATCACGGATTAAGGCGGATGATTCGGATGCTGTAATGGATAAGCGTAATTGGTATCAACAGATTGATAAAGATACCAAATATGACAAAGATGCCAAGTGGCAGGTACAACTGCCCAAATCGAAGTGGGATAGCGAGGAGGAAGGAACGTCGTCTACTATCGTAACGAAAGAGGGAGTTGAAAAACCAATAAACAAGCTGCACTCTGTTTCTCTAAGTCAACAAGAGAACCCTCCGACGCCCTCCGATGTAACAGACGAAGATAAAATCGACAATATTGTCGAGAGCACACACAACAAGGATGACAACAGGGAGTCCAGTGAGAAAACAATCGACAACATGACAACAAATGACGAAGCTTCGACGTTTTCTTTACAGTTGGAATCCGCCGGAGAGGAGAAATTAGCCTCGGAATATGAGCAATTCATGAAAATGGTGTCTGATATCCCCGTACCTACATCGCCCGTGACTGAAGTAACTAAGGAGTATTCTCCGCGTAGTTATCATGAGTTTAATATAGAATCTAATGTGGAGAAAAGTATAGTGAACATTGAAATATTTGAGAAGGAGAAGTTCGAGGAGGAGGATAAACACGAGGGATCGATCAAGAGTACGGAATGCGATGTAGTATCTATTGTGTCCCCAGACTATCAAATAGAAATCAGTAAAAATAGCATACAAAACGAGCATACATCTGATAATCACGTGACTGATGACTCCAAATCGATACCAAGCGATTGGGAGAATGTTAGAATTAAAGTGGAGCGATTGAGCGATGAGAACACGGATTCCAGGGAAGTAAAAAAGAAGAAAAAAAAGAAGAAGGAGAAGAAAGTAATATCTAGCAGTGATTCAATTAGCAGCGATTCAGTTAGCTCTTTTGACGTGGAGAAAGAAAAGAAGAAGAAAAAAAAGAAACGTAAACGGAAGATGCCAAACAACTCGTCTTCTTCAGATTCTGACAGCACGGACAGCAGCAGCAGTAGCAGCAGCAGTAGCAGCGATTCCAGCAGTTCGGACGAAAAGAGAAAGAGAAAACGGAAGAAGAAAATTGGGAAAAAGAGAAAAAAGGCGAGACGCGCTGCACGAACGAAGAAAAAACGAAGGAGAAAGATGAGCAGCGATTCCAGTAGCAGTGAGTCCGACGAACGTATAAAGAAGAAGAAAAAGAAAGTCAAAAAGAAAGCGAAGGAGCCCAAACAGTTTGATACGAAGTCTGTTAATAACGGTGATATCAACAAAATTATACCCAAGTCACCTGTGATAGCGTCACCTTCGGTGGTTCCAATAAAAAACATTAAAGAAGAAGCGATGATCGAGAATACGAGAGCCGAACAGGTGACACCGGTTCGCAAAAAAAACATAAATGCACGTGACAATGAATGTGTGAAGCAAAAGAAGGACAAGGAGAGCAAATCCGTCGAGAACTTCATAGAAGAATGGGAAATGGATTCCATGATTGCGACGCAGCAAAATGAAGCCGACATGTCGAGTCGCGATCGCATTGAAAAATTGGAGAAGGTAAACGACTCGGATAAAGACAAGCACCGAAGAAAAAGAAAGCAAAATCGGGACAACGTTGAACAGGACAAGAATAGATCGTCCAAAGGTGGTGAAGGCGGGAAAGGACAATTGGATGAGGAAGTTGAAATAAAAAGGAAAAGAAGACGGGAGAAGGATATTCGAAGCAGCACTGAGTTTCTTACGGACTGGGAGAAAGAAAGTGAGCGTATTACTCATCACATACAAAACGAGACGAAATATTCTAAAAAATCAGAGAAGCAGAAAAAGGAGAAATGGAGAGAAACCGATTTCGACACATTAAACGTACCATCTCTGACACAACTCGAGAAGGAAGTGTGTCGAAAGCAACTTTTAGCGGACGAGTGGGAAGTGGACAGCTTGGAAGCGATACCGGACTTGGCCGCGAGCAAACGGAAAAGTCTGAGTGCTTCTAAGAAAATTGAGAAGGAAATCAAGTACGTGAAGAAAACGGACACCTACATCGCGGTAGAGAAAGAAGCTACGAAAGAAAAAAAGAGGCAGGAGCGTTTCTGTGCAATAAGAATATGGGAAGAAGAACAAGAGGAGGGTGAAAGGGAAGAGATGATGCTTCTGGAGCAGAAGAATAAACGCAAGAGGGACGACTGGGATATAGAGGAGGAATCATTCTTGAAGAAGAGCGATGAGGAAATCGAGATTCGCAAGGTAGACGAAATTATTAAAGCGGACAAAGTGTGGAATAAACTGGACGAAAGTACGAACACCAGGCAAGACGCGAGTAAGCCGATAATGAAACTCGAGCCGGTCAGGTCTAAACGAGTGAAGAAGAGCCGTTGGGACATGGGTTCGCAGTCGGAAGAAAAGCTGGAAGTTAAGGATATATGGGAAGAAGATTATGTCGAATGGTCCAGCCTCAAATGTGAACAGAAACTCGAAAAAACAGAGAAGGAAACTCCTCACAGAGTGGATCATTCGGAAAGCTCCTCCTCCAAGTCGGACTTGGTAGATTTTTACCGTAGGAAACCACAGAACAGAGAATCACTGGAGAGGTCGTGGACGTCGGAAGAAGTGGCAAACAGGTCTGGACAAGCGAAGAAAGCGGAAGAAAACTCATCGACGAAGAACTTGATCACCGTGACGACGAGCGAAGAGCAAACTGCATCCACTACGAAGGAGCATTCGACCAGGGATCACTTTAAAAATATTCTAGAGTTGGATGTAAAATTCAAGGAGAAACCCATTGAACTGTACAGCCCCAGCTCACCGGCGCCTTCTCAAAAATCTCAGGTAATTTTGCTTTCACACATAAACGATTCTACATAATTAATTGTTAAATTTATTAGCGCACTTAATCAACCATTTACTCTTATTTCGTAGGATGTGGAAGCTTCTAATGACAGTAGCTCTTCCAATTCTTCACTGCGCAAGAAAACAAGAAAGGAGATGTTGATCGTAGAAGAACTGCCAATTCCCACGACTGATATGCTCTTGCAATTAACAACACTGCGTGATGCCAAGCACCCAGTGAACGAGAATATTGAGAATGTTTTGGATACGCAACTGGAGCGTAAAGTGTCTCCTCACAAATTCGACATCAAGGAAGTTAGCAATTTGTTCGATGACTTACCGATGAATGAACCGTGTCCGAACGTACACGGGTCTAAATCGACACTTATGGATATCTTTGCGGAATACGAGTCCGAGGGATCGCGCGATAAGCAGCCGCGTGTCTCGAGCGTGACGGAACACACTAAAGATGACGAGCCGAACGAAGAAAAAACTGCGGCGCTCAAGCTTATTCCCAAGCAACTGCTGATACGACGATCCAACGAGCAAGTGAAATCGAAACACGTACTGGAGACGCCCTTGCAGGATCCTGCTCAGCATGCAGCGGCTCTACTGACGATACAGAAGAAGCTATTAGAATCCCATGCGTTAAAGAGCGATAATAAGGGACCGCTAAAATACAGCACGACGAGCAGCAGTGAGACTCCCATCACTGATAAAATATTAGACAGAAACGAATTTGACGTGGCTCCCAAATCGTCTGTAATCGAGTATCGACGGTCGAAATCTCCAGTGTCAGAAAAACCGGTCTCCGTTCGGTCCGAGCAATCCGAGAATTACAATCAAGAAAGTAAGAATACGAAGAGATATAAGAGTAGTCGAAATCTGAACGACACTAGTGCTCAATCCGGCATGCGATCTCCCGTACGGGAACAAAAAAAGAAAAATTCTAGCAAGAAAGAGAGCGAGAAACGATACTCGCAAGATTATAGTAAGGACAAGAAAGAAAGGAAATCCAACGACGCGGAAAAGTCGGATAGAAGAGATAGCAGAAGTTTCAAAGCGGACATCACCGATAGCCGCAGAAGAACAAGTTCTCCGTTACGAAGCAAGCGAAAGAAGAGTGGGAGCCCGTATACCTCTTGGGAACGACAAGGAAGCGGAAATGGCAGTCCCGGTCATAGTTGGAGTAGAAGTTGTAGCAGAAGTCCGAAGAGAAAAGACGAAAATGTTGGTTCTTCAGGTATGCGAGACCGAGAGAAGAAACGAGACAGGTACGACGACGAACGGTCAAACAGATCTAGGATGGATGAAAGAAGAGAGAGACACACGCGATCTTCACCTCGCTCCAGCTACGACGAAGGTAAAGATATAAACACTACAGAGATAGTTTTCAATTTTGACAATTCGTGAGTGTTCTTGCTGGCACGCATTACTCTGCCTAATCGTCAAATGTTGAATGGTTTGCAGATAATTTTAAGAAGCACAATTCTAAGAGCAATCGCGATGATTGGGACAGAAGGAGGCACGACAACGTAGACAGAGACCGCGAAAAAGACACAAGACCATACGATCCGATGGATATGTTGCGAGAAAGAACAATAGAAGAAAAATACAGAGACACCAGGTACTACATAAAATGTATTTTGATGTATTATATGATGAATTTTAATTGAATATAATTCAGTAATTTGTAAAGTAGCTTTTCGTCTATCGAAAGCATTGTTTTATTTCGTGAAACGCAATCTTTTTTTACTCTTACGTAGTAAAAGCTGTTCGACATCCTACAGATATTGAAAGTAAATTAACTAGATGCATGAAAGATTATAGGTATTGATTAACGTGTAATAAATGCAATTAGATTCCATGCAGAGGGAGAAGTAGATCGGACATTTTGGCAATACGAGACCAGCAATCTTCTACGAGATGGTAATGAGTCTATGGATTCTTACGTCGTCACGCAAGACGTCCCGGCAATATTGCCTGAGTACGATGATCGACCGTACTACAGAGAGGGCAGTTTAGAAAGGGACATTAGGCAGTGTTCACCGCAGCTAACGACGAGATTTAGAAGGAGGTAAGTTCTTATTAATCTGCTTATTTTGTATGCTAATCGTTTCGTTCGCGAAAATAGTCTGAGTATTCTACGTGGCGATAATGATATCTTTGATCCGTTAGTCAAAGCAGATCCAGTACGAGAAGAGAACGACAATGGGAAGACAAAGAATCCTCGAGTCTAGACCGTCACGGTTATCTGGTGCATAGACTAGACAAGCCACAAAGCCGAACACCGCCGCGTTTGAGACTCTCACCTACGCGACAGCCATCACGATTTCGACGACAATCGAGATCGCGCTCGCGAACATGGTCGAGGTCGCGATCTAGAACAAGATCACGATCTAGATCTCGTTCCCGATCAACGTCGAAGTCAAGACCAAGAAGAGCGAGGTCGAGAAGTAGATCTCGTTCGAACTCCAGATCGCGAGCGAGATCATCATCTGCGTCGAAACTGAGAAGTCCGGAGCATGGACTGAGAATGTTGGAATTACACTCTTCCAAGTAAAATTTCACATTACTCGTGCGAATTCCGATATTTTTTTCATAATCTAAAATAAGTTATTATTTTTCACGCAGATCTCCTTCGCCCGGAAGGGGTCGATTTCACGAAATAGGAAAGGAAAGGAAGGACGAGAGCGAGAATCGAAAACACGCTTGTGGCGAAAGGGGTAGACGTATAGAGACTATCGTGCAGTCGGGAGCGAGCGTTTTGGATTCGGAGATGGGCATGAATAATAGTATAGACGGCTCCGTCACGAGTTTCCAATATTCAAACGAAATCGAGAATAGAAACGAATATTATTACACGGAGAACAATTTGACCTACCCGCCTTGTATGGACGAATCCAGTACGAGCTCTCCGAAACGTTTATCGCTCGACGACAGGTACGAATTCATCGCAAGGATTCCATATCATTATTCGCTGTACTTCGTTAAAAAAAAAATAATTTCCATATAAGATCGATCGTATTGTCCGAAACGATGAATCGTAACATCGTTGGTATAATTTACAGATTAGAGTTAGAGCTAGGAATTAAGAAACAACAAAACAAGAATTCCACTGGCATATCTTCCGAGTACTCCTCCAGTTTTAACTCCAACGTCATAGCGTATCCATCTCCGCCGCAGCAACAACAACAGCAGCAGCAGCAACAACAACAACAACAAATTATGTACCGACAACAACCCACTGTTTTACAAGTACTTATTTGATTACTATATAATAGTTCCTCATTATTTATCAAGAGCTATAAATATTAAGTTTAAATGAAGGAACAATGAAAGCTCATTACAAGTAGTCATGATAATCGATTCCTTAATACAAACGCGTGTATTCTTCGTATTAAGGTCGGCAACGTTTTGCAAGTGGTGCCAGCCGACTTCAACGGAGTACAATCTGTGCGTCGTGAAGTACCCATATCTGGAAGTACATCGACCAATGTACGTGGGTCCAGCCAAGTAGTACGTGTAGGTAACGTTCTTCAAGTAGTACCCACGTCATTGGATTGGAGCGGTAACAACGGCAACAGTAGCGCTGGAAATAGTGGCAGCGCCAGCTCCATTCAAACGTCGTCGAGCACAGATCAGTCTAGCGGAGTTTTGTATTCCTCAACGGTGCCGACAGCCTCGCCGGCGGCGGCGTCCTCCTCGATACCTATGTCCATGCCCGTTCCTGTGCCAGTTCCGATGCCCGTGCCACCGGCCACCGGCGTACCTAGTGCGACAATGTCGCCAGCTGCTTCACTGCCGCTCGCATTACCAGTTCCTGTGCCCGTGCCAGTCCCAATCCCTACGGCGGCGACAGCGTTTCCTTCAAGGAACGAAATCCAGCCACAAAGTACGTATACAAGTATATCGCTTCTTTCACAATCAAACGTCTCGCATATGAAGTACTACAGACTGGAATCTTGTCTTTACAGAAATTGCTCAACCGGTGTATAATTACGAAGCTATTCTCGAGACCCGTCGCAAGGAACGAGAAGAGCGCAAACGATTGCGCGAGTTACGCAGGAAAGAGAAGGAACGCAGAAGAATAGAACGTACGAATCGACGAGCTCTACGGCTCTTGGAGAAAAACAATATACTTGCACGACAAGCAGCCGGAGTCTCGTTAGATCGTCACAAGGGCTCAGTCGTGGACCCGTCAGTGCTGAAAGCGCTTCGCGAAAATGAGGAGCAGAGTGAGACCGAATCTCCGTCGGCTAACGCTGGAAAAGATGAGGAAGAGCCAGTGGCAACGCCTGTCACTGTATCAACAGAAGAGGACGAGGACGTAGCTGCGGATGAAGATGAAGACGAAGACGAGGATGAGGCCGAGGCTGAAATTGAAGATGACGAGGAAGAAGAGGAGGAAGCAGAGGACGAAGACGAGGATGATGAAGACGATGATGAGAAAACCACGCAAGTGATCATTCAGCGAGCTACTGAAGCTGATGAGATAGCAACAGCGACGTACGCTGATACCAATAAAAGTCTGATGGAAATTGAGAATAAAGAATGTTTCGAGTTACCACCTCCGCCACTGAAAGGCATTCTAGTTACATCGGGCTTCAGGTTGGTCAATGTTAGCCTCAATATCAAATTTTTTTTCTTAACTTTCTGAGTTGTGAATTATCAAATCAATGCACTTTCTTTTCAGGGACCTAGTCTCTAACGGCAACGTGGAAGATTTGTCGGACGCGGATGGCAATATCGAGGACGGTAGTGACAAAGACGAAGAAGTGGATAAGGATAACGAGCATGATAAGGATGCGAGCGTTGATGATAAACTCAGTATCTCCAAGCCGCGATCTAAGTCAAAATCAAAATTAGCAAGACAGCTGAAGAAAAAGAACAAAAAATCAGTTCAATTCGCTGATGGTATAAAGCCCGGTGAAGGGACCAGTCCCAGCGGAGGCGAAGGCGACATGCCTTCGCCGCCGCCTCCCACGGCGATAAACTTCCGCGACGAGCTCAAAGACTTGAAAAGAGATAAGATTTATAGCTCTCGAAAGAGCAGGAAACAGGAGAAGCGAGTGAGGCCGCCGAAAACAAAGAAGAAAGTTAAGGTACGTGTATGCAGTTACTGTTTTTTATTGTTTACAAGATATTTAGAAAAACAAGAATTTATAGAATATTTTTCAATCCGTCTTTATTGTATTATTTAAAATATTTGGTTCCTTTTACAGGTAAAGATAATCAAATTAAAGAAACCGCGTATTACACCGTTGACTGCTATGATGATGGACGATTCTGACGAACTGGACGATCGTTCACCGCCACCGCCGCCTCCTGGTTCTCCACCGCCTCCACATCTCTGGCCCAGTTATCTGTCAGCTTACAATACGGCGGTTCGAGCCGCTGAACCGCCGCCGCAGACTACGACATCCATATTAACACCCGTTCAAGCTCCACCACCGCCAACTCCGCTGCCTCTTCTGGTTCCGCCTCCTCCGTTAAATTATACCATTCAACCTTGCAGTAAAGCTTAAAGTCGAATCCGACGCAGGTGTTTCAAATGTATTTTTTCTTCATTGTGAAACGCTCACGGTGATACAGCGAAAAAAATCGTAATGAATCATAGTTTAAGGAATGTATATTGGTCTCAAGAAATCGTGATTTTGATGATTCGAAGTTAGAAGAGGAGCTATTAAGTATGTGTCGATAGCCGATATTGTAAATACGTAATCTCCGCAATATATAGACGTCGCTCTCCGACCAAAAGATTGTTGTGAACCTTTATCCATTGCGTCCGTAAATTTTAGTAACTTCATACCGATATAACTCGGCTCGTATATTTTCGATATCGGGAAAATCCCGAATATATACTATTAGAGGGTCATACCGGCAATGGATACAGTGTAATTATTTGTCGATTATATATCATTGACGAGATTTATTATAAGCGAGCACATTCTTATGCAATGTATGTACATTGTATCATAATTCGTCACAAATACACGTGACTCGAGTACGGATATGTTACATTTTAAATTGAACATTATGCAAGTTTCTCGTTATCTGTAAAATATTTAGCTCTAAAATGATAGCAAATTGCGAATCAATTTTGTAGTAGCGGTAACTAAGGTTTCTCCCATTTCTGAGCAATTTCAAAATATTTTCTAAAATAATGTAAAACATCTTCACGGAGCCTCTCTCGAAAGTGCAGTAACATTGCACTTTATCGAGAGCACGTGGCAAAAATACGCGCGATAACACCGACATGTCGATTTTTTTTATCGAAACACATATTACGAGTGATTCGCTGCCATCAATGCAAACTCAGTGTCTCTCATCAGCAGCCATTATCACTCGCAAGAATTAGCAATTGTTAAGCGTTAGTTCGACCTAATCGACGTATAACGTTGAACAACGGTTCAATTTGCTCAATAACTGCGTGCTTCACTTCATTAAAACATCGAAGTCTAGAAATGAAAGTAGCTATCGTAGGCAGTGGAGTCGTCGGGTTGACGACGTCTTTATTGTTACAACGAGAATTACGTAATGCCGAAGTGACAGTTTTAGCTTCGGATTTCGATGATATCGTCAGTCACGTAGCCGCGGGAATTTTTAGAGTCGGCGCTTCGTATTTTGGTCCTACTGAGCAAATAACAAGGTAAACAATCAGTATTTGTGAATTGTTGTACTGTAAAAAATTTCTTTTTTTATTGTTACAAATGATTATGGAAAAAGGTTTCATACACAATCGACATAGTAGTGCAATAAATATGTTTATAATCAATTATATCTTTCGAGACAATGGATAAGAGATTCATACGAATATTATGATAATATTCGCAAGTCAGAGGAAGCTTCTCACGCAGGCGTAACTGACATTTCCGGCTACATGTTTGCTAATTCATCTCCAAATACTGTTAAGGTATATTTTGAATAGTTATTATTAAGGAAAACTTTCTAAATAACAACACGTCAGACACAATCCAATAACATAATAATTGAATCGATTAGAGTCACTGGATCGAGGATCTGGTGCCAATCTATAGAAGAGCAACAGAGGAGGAACTGAAGCTCGTTGGTGGCGACTGGAAATACGGGTCGTATTTTTCAACTCTTCTTACGCAGTGTAGTTTGTACCTTCCATGGGCTAAGCGACAGTAAGTCGTACGTGACACAATTGCAAATTGTTACAAAAGTCATCATACCTTGAATTATTCGACTCGCCAGATTGCAAGCAGGCGGTGCCACGTTGCGACGAAGGAAGCTGCGTTCTCTCGACGAACTGGCTGGCGAATATGACTTGATAATGAATTGCACCGGACTTGGTGCACGTGAATTGTGCAATGACAAACGCATGGTTTCTCTGCGCGGTCAAGTGATCAAGGTACTGTATTATCTCTCGCTCGTATATGTCTAAGCAGGAAACTATATGTGTACTGTGTGTAGGTGAAAGCACCGTGGATCAAGACGTTTTTCTACGGTGAGCTCGACACCTATGTCATACCAGGTTTCCACGGCATAGTCACTCTGGGTGGATCGCGGAGCTTCGATTCCGAAAATACAAAGCTGTGTCCATACGAGTCCGAGGCGATTCGCGAAAGATGTAAAACGCTGGTGCCGTCGTTGAAAAACGCCGAACTTGTACGACAAGAGATCGGTTTTCGGCCGCACCGGGAAGGCAACGTCAGAGTGGAAGTTGATCACATTCGCGGTCGCTCTAACAAAGTCATTGTTAGTATTTGAACGATGAAGAAGATACCGAATCGATCAGAGCATCTATGACGCGCTGTTTCTCTTTGCAGGTAGTGCACAATTACGGACACGGTGGTTACGGAGTCTGCACAGCACCTGGCACCGCCATGTACGCCCTTCGTTTAGCTATGGACGCTCATAAATCTTCCACCGCTAAGCTATAAACTGCAGTCTCTTGTGAAATACATCTTTATTAACCAAATTTACATACGAGAATTATTAGAATGGTCTAATACTGTGGCGGTTTCCGTCTGCTTGTCGAAATGCACTTACAATTCAGGACGAAGTAAGATACATTTTTCGAAGTAAGACAAATAAAGTTCGCTTTATTAGCGAAGAGAGAAAGAGATATATATTTCTCCGCGACCACAAAACTATAATTGATGTTCCTTTCGAGACGACAAGTTCTAACACATCAGACTTTAAAAATTATACCTTCTTTTTATCTCGTCAAGATAAACATTTTCGTGGCAAGCATATCACGTGCTGTCTATCGATTGATTACTTTGCGAAATGCACACGAGGTGAAAAGTTGGATATTAATCGTGTTTGTGAATCTATTGCCGAGTGGCTAGTAAATTCGTAAAACGTCACCTTTGTGAATCATCACGATTAATTATTCGTGAGTGTCAACGATATCGTCAGGTGATTCATATCACCGAATAGAGAAAAACCAACGCGTCAACTCGCTTGTAACGCTACTTCTTGCCAGGTTTCACATTCTTTCGAGGTGGTGCTCCCCATCTTAACGCGTTACTATCGACCGTAAGACGCGGCCTCTTGTACTGACTGCTCTTTATGTGTTCCTCCACTAACTTGGGTGTTACGCAGATCACATGCTGTCCTTTCCAATATTTCACCATGTTCATACTTTGTAATGTTGATATGATGTCGGTTTGGGAGATGCTGGTCATTTGGCTGTAGATCAAATTGAATTATTAATATATATAATAGTTCATACAAAAGATTCATCATTTTTTTTTGTTAAGGGACTGATTCTGATATATTGTACCTGAGATCCTTGATGCTAAGAGTCCCCCGGAAATCTCGAAGAATTTCCAACAGAATCCAACTCCAATAGCTGCGGTAAGAGAGTTTTCCCAAATCACTCAAAGGTTTCTCCGGACTACCGACCGTTTGTTCTATTCTGCTTAGTTCATAACTAAAAGCTATCAGCAATTTGCCATAGCCTTGTCTTTGGAAAGGTGGTAGAGTCAAGATACACGCGACGTTATTGCCATCCGGTGATTCTTTCTCCTGAAAATAGGGGAGACTTTGTAAATAAATGGGGGAACAAGATTACAAGCAAATTTACAGCACTAGAAATCGATACCTTCGAAAAATATCCAACTAAATGTGCTCCGTGTTTATCTACCTCACATAAGATATAAAAGAGAAATGGTTCTACATCGAAATAAAGAGTCTTATGATCCAGAAACAATTTTGCTAGTAAGCATAAATTTTGACAATAAATTTTATGCTCCCTGCCATCCACCTCCCAGATGCTCAGCGTTCCTTTTCGGTAAATTTCCTTTCCAACCGGTTGCCTATGAGTGCACTCACTCTGAAAAACAAAATGATTAAAAAGATATTTTATTTAACATAACTTCACACAAAAACATAAGAAATATTACTGTTTATGTTAGAATGTATTATTATATATATTTCATTCAACATACCATGTGATATCTATATGTTTTCTCAAGACGCATGTATTTCAAGCAATATTCACATATCCAGAGTTTGGGTTGTTTACCATATTCTTCTGGGTATGGGCTGAAATACCAAGTATCAATTTCGTACTTGCCTAGAAGCAAACTTTTGCAAATCATAAGATCCTTTTTTGCATCGATGAAAATACAAGGATGAAAGGTCTAATATTACTTACCAATCTGTATTCTGTCTATATACTTGACTTTTGTTATAGCTTCATGTTCCTTTTCAAGTGCAGCTGTGGTAGGATCCATTTCTGCATAAGTCTAAAAAAAAGATAGAATAAAAATAGGAAAAAATTAATAAAATTACCTATCACAGTGAAACTTCTTAATGTAGATAATATCTACCTTTTGTACATGATTAATCTCATCATGACGTCTTTTTTGATTCCTAGTAATTTTACGGTCAGAAGAATCGGCTAACAAGTCAGACCCTGTATTTCTATCGTGCCGCTCAATCTCACTCATGTCAAATCTGCTAGACATAATTCTATCACGAGGTACCCATTCATCCAATCTTCTGTTATGTCCTTCATAATGAACATAGTACTCATAATGGTTCTCAATTTCATTGTAACGTGGCTGAATAATTTCAGCAGGATCTAAAAAAGCAACAAGATACTTTAGGACAACATTGATCATGTACATACAATAATATATTCTCAATAATTTAGTATTTATACAGGTAGTTCTTTATACAAACTGTTAAAATCACTTTGTATACACACAAAAAAGGTATAAATATTTAGTCTAATTAAAACTTTTATATCATAGCAAGTACAGCATATATAAGAGACTAATGTGCATGGAGCTTTTGACAGTTTTTCATCAAATTTTATCAACAAATCGATAACATCAAAGCACCAAGTAGAAAGGATAAAAAGCATGCGGACCACCAGCAATTACCCGCAATCGCGTCGGGGAAATGTCAGGAGGGAAAGAGAAAGTACAAACATAACTGTATACGCGATTTACGTACGCCAGGAGTCGTCAGATCTGCGAACGAGATAATGTTCGCCTATATCGAGAGGCATTTCCTCGAGGCTGTCCGCATCATCACCCGAACCCTTCCCGCCATTCGTCAATGTGTTTTCACGCTTTTCCTGTTTGACCATCGTCGTCTCCTTCGGCGCCGTATTACAACCGTCCTTACTCTTCTGCTCGGATTCGGCCATTTTCCGGCAGCAGTTTACACCACGCTACGGAGAATACGTTCGTCGGGAGCACGAAACATCCAAAAATAACTGAACATTGCGCCTTCTGACGCAACGATCCGAACACTGGCGTACACGATCGGGAGGACGCGTTCGCATACGTCAATATGGCGCCACGGTGCTTCCGTTTGGCGTTCAAATCGATCCTATACGATTGTATAATCCGATTGGCGTATACTTTTATACCCGGATAAGATATAGAACGGCATACACCAATCGGGTGCGCTTACAAACAAACGAATCCGCAGCAATGGTGACTAGGAAATTTTGCGTTGATTTTCGATCACGTGGTCGTCGTGAACGGAAGTGAGGCTGGCGGAAAGGTTGATAGTTGGTAGCAGTTTCCGTTTGGCGAACGAGAAAGAGCAGCAGCGTCTTGACTCGTGCACACGAGCCATTTTTTTTAACGTAAGTCACTGAGCGTCGTTATCGTAATTTGGCGAGAAATAAGATCACGACAAAGCTCGCACATACGATAAGAGTCTCTGCACATTGATTCGTTTGTCAATTTCAGTTCCTTTCTATCTTTTTTCTGCATTATCGATGGACACGTCCGTCGGTTACCACGCTACCTCGGAGACGTCGGCGGCTGGGACGGTAATGTACCATTTCTATAAATCTTTCTCATTTTTCTTCCTCGTGCCTTTTCCAATCTTTCTTTCTGCCTATTCCGCTATTTACTACGGAATAAATCGCCACGATTGCAACGCATCGTTTCTCGCATCGGATCTCGCTGGAGACCGTATCGGGAGGGAGGGGATCAATAAATTGTACAATCGGTTTCCCGGCAACTTGGGCGATCGGGATCGGTGATCTTTCCGCGATGGGCGTCGTCTGTTGGCAGTATTATTTTTTTAGCAATTTGCTCGATGCGCATTTGACGTTAAAGTACTTGAGTAGGACTCGATTTCAAGACGCCATTTCGTATCCATCGTCCCTTTTCTCTCCATTACCCATTTACATCTCGCATTCTTTGCGCGCTTGGTATTCTGAGATTTTTATACTTTTTTTCCCTCCTGGCTTTGATGTCTCTAAGATATCGCAACCGTATATAAGGAATGTAATTTTCGTCACGACGATCTGTGTAGTTCAAGCGCGCCAAAGATTGACATGGCGATCGTCGTCGAATATCATGGGTCATGGAGAGGAGAGGGAGAAACTGGTCGCGTCTTTCAGGCGGATTCCTTTGTGTTCCTACGCGCGTCACGACGTGCCACATTTGCCTTATTTGCTACCAAATGATTGAAAGAAAATCATTAATTCTTGAGATAAAATGAATGAATATTCTGTAAATCGTATTTTTTTTCTAATTAATTATGACTCAAGCGTATATAAGTATATTGTTAGGAATATCTCTACTAAATAATTTTTTTATAATTTGCAAAATCTGTGTGATTGCACATATGATATGAAAGAATTATTTGGTAAAAGATAATTATATCAATTAAGACAAAAATTATTCAGTATCTGTGTAATATTGACTATTAATACATAATGTATGTTTCAGCAGATGGTTTCGACCAACCAGCCGGTAAGATCATATTAATATTTATTATTATTAATTTATGTATGTGTACAAAATCTTGCAGTATTTTGTATACATTTTGTTATGCAATATATTAATTACTTCACTAGAATAATGCCAGTAATATACAAAGTTGGGTAATAACTAGTTAGTCAGTTAAAAATAAAGTTAAAGTATTGGAAAGTCAATAATTTGATTAATTCTAAATTAACTATGTCAATTTTTAACTTAAACTAGTTATGTATTTTAAAATCTATTGTTCATTTTTTATAATAGAATAATCCATCAATAAATTATTGTAAACTGCTAACAGTGTAGAATAAGAAAATAAGAATTGTTTTATTTTTCTGAATGTCAATATTCTTGTCAAAATTCTGAATCCAAAATAGACTTTTTAATATAAAGAATTATACTTTTCTATTAATAACTCATAAATTTAATTTTCCACTAAAAAATTATGTAAATATATATATATAGTTTTGCATAATTAACTTTTAACTTTGATAAGTTAATGTTAACTTTTAATAGAGTTAATTTTTGTTTATATAACTTTTAACAAACCAAGTTAATTTAAGGAATATTAACTTTAAACTTAGTTTAGAAAAAGCTTAACCCAACCCTGATAATATACATAGCTCAGCATATTTTATATTAAAGTTTCATACATCTTGTAAGATGCTTTAGTGATATCTGAGCAATAATAAGTCTCGAACAGACACCATACTTTTTATGATAAATGTATGATCGATTTCTGAGATACAAGTTTTAATCGTAAGGTCAAGTTTGAGAATGTCTCCAAGCTTCTTCTTGATGAATTAATATGATATCAATAATGGAATTTTATATATGTTGCAGAGAAAGACGAAGATATTCGTGGGTCGGTTGCCAGAAAATTGTCGCAACGATGAGTTGCGACAATTGTTCTTGCGTTTTGGCGAAGTGACGGAATGCGACGTCATGAATCGGTACGGTTTCGTCCACATGGCACGGGAGGAGGATGCAGCGGCGGCGATCAAAGCGCTTCACAACTCCAACTTCAAAGGTGCGACGATCAACGTGGAACAGTCTACCGGCAAGTCGCGCGGAGGCGGAGGAGGACGCCGTGACGGAGACAGAAGAGGTGGACCAATGAGAGGTGGTAGGGGGGGACGAGACGGTGGTAGAGACGCTCGTCCTGGACCATACAATGATAGAAGAGGTACCCGTCATACTTTCTACATTTATATTGTATATTCCGACAAGACTATTTTCTCATTTGTTTTCTCAAGTTTCTCTGTATGTATCGTATTGTTAAGTGTACTCTGTATGTATCGTATTGTCTTTTTTGCAATTTCCTTTATTTATTCTTCTTGTTTCTTTCGTTATCGTTTTCCTCTCCCACAATATCTATATAAGTGTTGCATTAAAAAAATACAAGAAAAAAGGGAAATCAGTGGTTTTCGTTCAATTGATTCGTGACTTTTATGTGACAGACGTTGTGAACGAATCATTTTGCTACAGAAAACTACAGAACATGTACATTGAGAAAATAGTATGTTGGAATGAAATGACATAACTTGGAATGTGTACTCAAAAATCAATTCGATATCTTCGACATGCTTTGCAGTTCTTCCGATCCAACTCGTTGGTTACGATGGATCTGCTGCAGGTGGCGTCGCAACGGGGTACACTGATTACAACCGAGGAGCCGGCGACTTTAGCGGCCGTGGAGCGGACTTCAGCACTGGCTACGCCGACCGTGGGGCATATGGCCAGAACGTGGGTGGCGCAGCCATGGGTTACACCTCGACGGCACCCGGGATGGGAGGCGGATATGGACCAGCGACCGGCGCCGTGGGAGGTTATGGGCCGACTGGTGCAGCGGATTACGGACGTACAGCTGACTATGGTCGCGCAGACTTTGGCGCTAGAACAGACTATGGTAATTGCGATGGTGAGTGCGTTCGTGCAACTCGGAAAGTATGCGAGTCCAACCGAGATACCACGTCGTTTATATTTTAAAACTGCATAGAATAAGTATAAGGACCTGCACGCAAGCGAAATAATATAAACTGTCTATTTTTAATTTTTTACATTGTATGGAAATATTATAAATGTAGACTAATATGTAATCTTAAATATATTGTATCTGTCTTATAAATGGAGTTAAAAACAAAATTGTGCGGTGAAAATAATTTTTATTGATGGAAATACTTGTTGTTCGTTTTCTTGATCCTCGGCGATATGATTTTCATTAGACGCATAAGAGATCAGGGACACAAACTTTCCAAGTGAGATGAACGCGCAATAGCGGTTTTAACTCTGAATATTTTATCCACTGGTTTACATTGTTTGCAGTAGTTGGTGGTGGCATGGCCGGAGATTTCAATCGGGGTGCACCCGGCCCGGTAGATTATGGACGTACTGATAATTTTGGTGCCAGTCGCACAGTCGATTACACAGCTCGGAATGATTATGACCGAAGTGCGACTGGGCCGATGAGAAACGGTGGTGGTGCAGTAGCCACTACTGGGTATGGAACTGGGTACACTGATGTGGGATATGATGAAAGCCACTGGTAACGTAGCTATTATTTCTTTTGCTGTCATTCTGAAATTTTCCAAAATAGCTAAAGATTTGGAGTTTCTTGAATTTTAAATCCTAGTCTCCGAGTTGTCTTAAGCCAGGGTAGCTTTAAAACAATGTGAAAACAACGATTGAACAATGAGAAACATATTCTTTCATTTGTTATTACAAATAATTGTACATACTTATATACTTTGGCTTAAAACAATTCGTTATTATTTGTCTTTTGATTATAAAATTTATTTTCAATCTTAAATTTTAAATCATATGTATAGAAATAATAATAATTTTGTTGAATATCTAAACTTTTCAGTTTTTGTATTGATATAAATTAAACAAAATTTCAAATTAAATTATTCCAAATTTGCATAAGATCGATTTTTTTTAATAATTTTTAGACTTAATTAAGATATTACTAATCACTGAAATAAGTGCAGTGAAATGTAGATTATTTATTGCTACGTGGGGAGAAATTAATTCAGCGATTTTGCATGCATAGGTTATTTATATAACTGATATAAGAATTGAATGCGCAATTTAGAGATCCAATTTCATTGAATCTCTAACCCGAAAGTCGCTGAAATAGTTATCGCGAAGGCAGCAATTTTTCAAATTATCTACATTACACTGCATGTGTTTTACATTTTTTTACATTACAACAGCATTATTACACGCACGTGAGGAAAACTTTTCTTTATTTAAATTGAAAATTAATTTCTATACATAAGGTTTGAATGTCGACACTGAAAATTACCTATCCTCATTATATTCAGTTGAAACATTCGAATAAACTCGTATTGCAATTTTCAGTACAAGCAATCAAACCTTATCTACTTTTAAGAATCTAAGTTTAAGTCTCGACATTCGGATGCGTTAATTTATCCAGTGTAGTTTAATTATCGAATTTGGTTTAGAGAATTCCTAGAGTTCCGCGAGCTTTACAAATTGGCTGAGACTGTCGTTAAGCTTCATTTTTATTTTAATCTGAGAACTTTTTTTGCACGTTAAAACGAATAGCATATAATTGCAAGATTGTGAGCGTTATATTGCGGCAAAGTTTGCATATCGACGTAGCAGATTCTAAATATCTCGACCAGGATAAAGTAAAAATAAATTTAATAGAGTATAAATTTAATAGAGTTAAATTGTATACGGGGATATATATATACATATATATACATACATAATTTAACTCATATATATACACATATATGATAAATGAACCTGGAAGAGATAAGTTAGAGAGCTACTGTGGCCTACAAAAAAGGAATCGTTCTACCGATACTGATATACTTCCATTTAACAGGCCAATGAGTACTGGACCTAGCTACAGCACTGGGGCACCCAGTTACAGTACTGGTCCAGGACCACAAGCTGACATGTTTAGTAGAAGACCTGGCAGTGCCGTCCCTAGTGGTGGCTATCCACCGGTAGCTGGCGGGTGAGTTGAAAATCTCTCTAAAGACTAAACGAAAATGCTCATTTTCGTGTTGACGTACCTCTCATGTGATCCAATTATGTTGCAGTTATGCCGAGGGATATGACAGACCAGATGCATATGGTCCTCCACGTGGCGGTGGACGGTAAGTCATACTTTTTTAACGTATCTCATTATGTTCTTCTCACGAGACTGCGATTACGAGAAAAAAGTAACATATTTATCACACACATACACATGTTGACGTTGGAAAGCGAAGGAAGCCTCTATGCGTGTACGCTTATCAATCTGGCGTCTCTCTACTCTCTCTTTTTGCGCTATACGCCTTTCTCGTTCTTATCCCGATTATTGTGTACACTCCACGCAAGTTTCTATGCGGATCGATACAGGTTAAATATTTCTGTAAAAGTATAAGGTGTGACACTTTGCGCGACACTCGGCCATATGTCACGAAGCGTACCGCGCGATTTTGCGTAAACGAGTCCGATTACTCTCCGGTATACGTGCAACAAAGAGTCAACGTCTCTATTTTATGAGTGTAAAAAAGAACAGAGGTTGAAAATCACCGTGGCTGAAAATTGTACTAATCATTCCCTATTTCCTACATTTTCCTATAGGTGTACTAATAATTGCATAAAATATATTTTACAGACTCTATATTCAATCAATTCATTTTACAGATGTATTGATAATTGCATAAAATTTTATAGACTCGATGTTCGATCAATATATTCCACAAACTACTTATTTTAAACAATCGTAATGATATTTCAATTAAAGCTTAAGATATTTATATTCGACAACTCTTATAAAATGAAGTAAACACGAATGAAATTATTCTGAAAGGAGTACTCAAGAAGTATCACAATTTGTCCAATTACAATTTCAGGATTTTTCTTGCAAATCGATCAAACCAATTTCTCACAGATGTAACATGTGTAACGTTTCATCAGCTCAGAAACTACTTACTGCCACATATCAGTGTATAACTGTGATACGTCACCTCTCTTCTTTTACGTACTCCGCAATGAAATTCCTCGATCTCAGCGTCCGTCCGCTATGCGATCAGCCTTTGCCCATCGACAAATCACACGATGGCGATGCGCTCGAAAAGGCGGAAGCCCCTTGTAAGTACGAAGACATCTCCGGACAATTACTGAGACTTCTGTGAGTAATACTTCACACGGTGTATCTCGTGAAAATTTTTTGCGGTCCGTACGCGAAAACATGTATCCCAGAGAATGGAATTCTTCTACAAGCCACTACTTCACACAAACACACATATACATTTAAGACTCCTGGCCCCACGTACTGTCTATCTCTTTTTAATGACGTCAGAAGCGAGAAATTGCATGCTAAAAATTCTTGCGAAATACATTAAAATAAAAATATATATCTATAAAGTAATACTTGCAGTCGATTAAACAAATTTGTAAGATATTCTGTGCACTCCCCTTTTGCTTTAACAATCAATAATTTGTTGTAAATTAACGTGACATTCAATTCATTTTTTTAACTTATTTCTTCGCCTATTTCTATTCAGATTAATTTACAATAAATTATTGATTGTAAGATATTCCGTAAACTCTCCTTGTGCTCTAACAATCAATAATTTGTTGTAAATTAACGTGACATTCAATTCATTTTTTTAACTTATTTCTTCGCCTATTTCTATTCAGATTAATTTACAATAAATTATTGATTGTAAGATATTCCGTAAACTCTCCTTGTGCTCTAACAATCAATAATTTGTTGTAAATTAACGTGACATTCAATTCATTTTTTTAACTTATTTCTTCGCCTATTTCTATTCAGATTAATTTACAATAAATTATTGATTGTTAGAGCACAAGGAGAGTTTACGGAATATCTTACAAATTTGTTTAATCGATTGCAAGTGTTACTTTATGGATACATATTTTTATTTTAACGTATTTCGCAAAAATTTTTAGCATGCATTTTCTCGCTTCTAATGTCGTTAAAAAGAGATAGACAGGAGGAGCCAGGAACCTTAACAAACATACTCTTGTACATCTTAATCATTATCACCATGACAATTCCTACGCCGTTGCGCACCTAAAATACGTGCTAAATTGGCTTGTGTAAGCCAGTGGCTTGCACAGTAGCTTGCGAAACTACGAATGCATACTTGCCTTCGTGTATTGACTCTCTTTTCTTCCACACAACCCGAGAGATCGGATAATTCCGGAATTCAATCCGTTTCGAGAGAAAGAGAGATGAGAAAGTGCGTTGCGTTGTGGCTACTGCGTCCACGACATACGAACAACGATCGAACTTCCGATAAAAGTACGACGTCAAGATTCGAGACTCCTCCGCACGCCACGAAGATCGAATCATTTTTTAAACGCACTTGCGACCAGTGCCCGAGAATCGACTGACCGATTGTGGCGTATCGATCAATTTTACACATGTGTGACAGTTAACCAGAACTGGGTGTGAGCTTTCTCTTCATCGACAATCAACGAAGATCGTCTCTGGACTTGACAATTTACATTCGTATCGTTCGATATCCTAGCAAAAAGCGATTCAATCTTTGGATCTCTCGTATAATATATCAACATCGTATCTCCTAAAAGTAATTTGACGCATTAATGGTACGTATTAAGTACGTAATATCGGCGAGTAACGAAAGTCAATTGTTCCGGATAGCTGATTAAAGAGATAAATTTAATTAACGCGCGAGATACAAATCCATTTTAAATCTTGCTACCCAGGTCTGGTAGCTGTATCTTTCAGCTAGTCTGGCGTTATATTTTGCGTTGCGTCGCGTGAGAAAAAAGAAACGAAAAGATACATTCGAAACTTTCTCGACACCATATAATATATATTCGGTATATATATTCGGCAAAACCACTCCGTCCGTCATCGGAATTACACAAATTCTCGCATCCAGACGCGTCCCGCCGATCGCGCATGACAGTGTTACATCTTATACTTTCCCTCTACCCCCTTGCACCCACAGCAAGGCGATCACACGAATTAATATTGCGATTTTTCATTTTTCTGACCTTTTAGCTTCCCAGGTCCGGCAGACGCGATGCCACCGAGGTACTAAAAAGCTTGTACTAAAAGCGAACGCTAGCGCATGCGAAAGGCAACATAAAAAACAAACAGACACAAAAAGAAAAAAAAACAAAAGACTTTTTAGTGCTGTCATTCGCTTACGGATTCGATTACATCTAGGAACTGCCCTCTGCGTCCGATTCATAGAGTCCGTATTAATAACAATGAGAATATACATATACATGTATGACATATATTGTTTAATCGTATTTCGTAAGAGATATGGTAAGAAAATACGAGGTATCAGTGGGGAATAACATAAATAATGAATCGTTAATTTGTACTCATTCGTACTCTGTGTTGAGAGATATATGCCCATGGGTTTAACAAAAATTTATACATAGATTGTAATTAATGGTATAAATTCATCGTATCAGCCCATCGTATGTGTATGTATTAGAGAAGCAATAATTTTTCGGCATTATTACAATTACTTCCATGCAATTTACGTTCGTGAGTTTGTTTGTTCCTTTTTTCTTCTCTTTTTTTTCTTTTTTATTTCTTTTCAATGACCAAGTAAAAATCTAACGTTCTGATTTTTCTTCAACGGTGGGTATGTGGGTGTCCTCTTTAATTTAAAAATAAATTTTAAAGCCCACGCTCTGTAAGATAGAAGCTTTTGTTTTACGCTATTAGCGTTAATTCCATTTGGACTTAGACTATTACGATAATGCTGTATAATCCTATTTTTTTTTACATATAAGAACTTTTCTGCATAAGAGAAAATGTTTTAAATGTTCATTAATAAACCAGCAGAGAAACATATATAACGGCAGTTGTCGATGTATCTTTACTTAGAGCAAATAAAGCACAAGCGAGTGTCCTAATCTTTGCAAGACTTCTAATAACACGATGTAATTTATTTTGTCTTCTTCCAGTCACTTAGTACACGTGTAGTACAATATTATTACTGAGTCTAACTATTCATTAACTCTGCAAAAGTAAAAAATTAAAAAAAAATGCTGCTCTATATCATCAGTATCTGTCTCCAACACGACACATAAGCAAAAAGTGTTCGCCACTTTGCTTTGAAGACATTTGCATTAATATCTTTTTCTTATCTCTCTCATCATTATGTCTGTGATGATTTTATTATTTACGCAAACATTAAAGTAGAATTCTCTTCTATCTTGGCATCATGCGACGCTAATTCAGTTTCTTCGTAGAAGAAAGGTCGAGTTTTCGCAGGGACATCAGAACGTAGAACGTAGAGTCGCCCATCCAATATCAATTTGTGCATATCCATAGGAGAGCGAACGGAAGAAAGCAATTAGTTGCTAATCAGCGTGCGTGCAATCATGTCGCTTAATGTGAATTCTTAATTCGACGACGTTATGCATTGTGATCCTGATCTGTTCTCGAATTTCTAGGAGATAATTGTGTATAATAATTAGTGAATATATAAGTAATAAGAATGATAGAAATGATAAGAAAATTACGGAGCGGCACACTCTCCGGAATTGTTCGATGGCGATGCAGAACGTCCAATCTCCAGCTGGTGCAGTTTACGTAGTTAGGCCTGTGTACTGAAAACGCCGGTTTGTGAACGTGCGGCGAGCGCGTTGCCGCGCGTTACCCTCTGGTGTGTGGCGTGGTCGACCTGCGATTATTGAAGAAACCTGCGATTACAACGATTACTCGCTATCGCGTGGCGGCGCTACCCCGTACGATGCGGCGAACGGCGAATAAACCAACCTGCGAATATATGGATTAATGCGCCACAAATTGCGTTTTGCGCTCAAAGCTGGCGTGCTTTGAATTTAAACTGAAGGTATGTTCAACGTGCGTGCGACCTCTTAATACTTTATCTGTTGAGAAAAGCAGAAGCGGGCCTTCGGGTCTACTGCCTATGATACATTTACATTTATATATATTTATATATATGTCGATGTTCTCATTAGTGCGAATGGAGAATGTCCGGTCGAATAAAAAAAGAATCGCGATACCGTTGAAGAAAAGAAATAGAATCGTATGCGCGCGTGTATAAACGAAAGCGGCCGCTTTTCCGTCGACCTCAGGGTGTTGCGACATTGCGAATAGAGATGCATCGATTCTAATTCCGTCTCTGCTCTGCATGTATATTAGTGGCAAAGTAGCTCCAATTAAGACACAGCTAATGTAACTTTCCGCTCGTTGATACATCCGTCAGTATTGACACAGTCCTCGAGACGATTCGTCTGAATCGTTTGTCCAAATATTCCGCTTCATTTGCTTCCGTCTAATCTAATCGGAGATTTAATGAAGCAATTAATTTTTCGGTCAACTCTCGCAGATACGCGATAATTCCTAGTGACTTTTGTACATATGTACATGCGTGTAAATTTGACGAAGTTTACCATTACGCGCGTTTCATAAAACTGATGCCAATTTGTATATCCGTTCTAAGCGGTGTTAAGTCACATCAAATATTTTCCGACACGATAACTCAAAAATCAAGAGATCTCTGGTCTCTTTGCTCTGCGAAGATAGATACGAGTTCGTATAGAAAAAATGTGGCGTATCGCGTGATAAATTCTCATCATATCCTCCATTAAGCTTAATGCGTTTACCAATGTCTTACGAGATGGAATTAGAATTCAAGCTGAACATATGCGGTGCGATTAATCGGAAAAGACGCACATTATTTTCCTCTTTTTTTTTTTCTTTTTTTCTCTTCACTAACATCGTCGTCGTGAGTTGCGAATCGCTCGTTTCGATATCCTACCGTCGAATTTTTCTAACGCGCTATATGCTTCAAGATGTTGCGTCTTTAGAACAGCTCGTTAATCTTAATATCGGTGGAAAAACGTCGCAGAAAATTTTCTCGTATTGTTGTCGACCTGTACAGCGCTCCTATCAACAATTCAGTCGATGCATTACATCTCACTGGGAACTTATGCTTTCCTAAAAAGTGCACCTTCTCATTTAACAAAACATTTACATATTAGTACAAAATGTGTGTTCGTTTCACGTCACGTTCGAGATCACTTTTACAAGTCGTAAAATCGATTCAAAAAGTAACATAGTTACGTCATTGATCATTTCTCCGAACATTGACTTTAGTTGGCGTTTATGCAAAAATGAACGATAGTACCATAAGTTAGTGTTATTATTGCGTTACGTAAGCTCACGAGTGATTGGTATAATGTACATAATTTATAAGATATTTTTTTGATAGATTACAAACTGGATGAGGACAAAGACGGATGGACATTGAGATGAACTCAACTAATAAGCCCCTCAGAAGCGTTCCACTATCAGTGTGAACTCGTTTACGTGTCCTCAGAGGTGGGCACTGACTAAATGAAGAGGATAGGATTATAACGTCTAGCCAAGAATGACGACAAAACATGGTACGGCAAAAAAGAAATAAAAGATATAAATCTGCTAAATTTTTTATGACTTTTATTAAAATGAAAAATGTAACTATTAAAATAGATTAAAATTATATATATATATATATATATATATATATATATATATATATATATATATGTATGTATGTATGTATATATATATATATAATTTTTATAGTATGGTAAAAATCAGTCGTAGTTATTGATTACACTTCATTTGTTCGTATCTTACTGAACTATCACAAGAAACGTTAATAAATGCATAAAAATAATTAAAATCCATTTCTATTCCCGACACCTCTCAGCGATAAACTATTCATCATATGTTAACATTAGTAACGTAAATTTATAGGGAACTATTATTCAACATCCGTGTATAAAATCGATACTGTTCGTACATGCAGCTCGCCTTCATAATCGCGAAGTTAATCTTATCAAAGTTTATCTAAGCTAGCTCTCTCTCCACGACCACCCGCGTAATCGTACACTAGTCCGGCCACTTCCACAGCTAATTTGTTAACTTGCAAAGCGTCTTCACATTCCGCATAAATCCGCACCACATCCTCAGTCCCAGACGGCCTGAAAAAGAAGTTACGAATGAGTTTCTCGCGTATAAAAAATGCCTCTTGAGACTGCTTGTATCAAAAGATATACCTGATAAAAGATCGTCCTTTTTTATATTTAGATACAATCTTGTCAATTTCCTCTTGCAAACCAACCGGAGTCAGACACAATCTCTCTGCATCCATCGTAGTCACATCATTCCTGTCGAGAACTTGAACTTTAAGCTGCTTGTTCGGGAATTCGTCGTAAGTTCTTTTCCAGTCAGCGACGTCCCAGCCTCTAGCGTGCAATATAGTTTCAACCAACAGCATATCGCTGAAAGCATCGCCAACTGTCTCATTTATCATGTCGATCACGGCCCTCAGCTTTGCTGTAGCTACTCTCTGCGGCTCCGGCAGATTCGCATTCTCGACGTGTTCGCGTATAACTCGTTTGGCGCTATCCTTGAAGAGCACGGTGCCGTGTCCATTTGCCTCGAAGTAGACTCCGATGTCGAAATTCTTCGCTTCCTTATGCAAGTGCTTTACACCGGTCGACACACACTTCACCGGTAATCTCAACGTTTGCGTGATGTAATTGGTCACTGCGCCGTTGGAATACGCAGTCTGTACCAAACCCAAGCGCAAAGGCAAACCGCTGCTTTCCAGCAGTTCCTTAATATAGGCCGCTATTAACGTCGCTATTCGGTCTCCGTCCATTAAATGGAACTTGTTGTTCTTGTCCACGTAAAAGTACACAACTCTATCAGCATCTCCATCCACGCTAACGTATCTGACATTCATCTCGCATGGGAGGTTCATGGGCATCACTTGCTGCACCTTGACGTAGTCCGCACCACACTAAACAGACAAATAAATTGTCAAACGATTAGAAATGGCAAGTTACAAACATTAGACACGATAAACGGAGTGTCTTTCAAAACATAACACACATACTTTGTGATTCAACTGCTCGCTTCCATCGTTAAATATAGCGATGTCCAATGAACCTTCTAAGTGTTTCTGAAATTCTTTCGCAGCTATTGCACCGACGCCATTTGCAGCATCTAGTCGTATCACATTTGTATAGTTTTTATTATTTCTTTCAACACCTCTCACGTTCTTAAACATCGTTGCGAGTTTCAAATAATATCCCTGTAATGTGGGCTCGCCATATGCACCATTGGTGTTAGTGCACACTACAGTGTAATGCAGTTGTGGAGTTGTGACTAATCCTAGATTTATAACAGTACCGTTCAATGCTTCAACTCCTCTGCTGGCGAGTTCTAGCAGTTTAAGACTAGTTTTGCGAGTGTCTCTTCCTATTATTACTGTAGCTGGTACAGATAAATCAATGTTTTCATTTGCACATATATGCTTCAATTTTTCTTTCAAACTACTGTATTCTGCATTAGCCAAATCTGTTGCAATTGTTTCCCAAGAAGTTTCCAGCATCTCACCAGCTGGGTCCACAAGTTTGATACCATTATCAGGTTCTGGATTGTGACTGGCAGTAATCATTAGTCCTATGGCAGCTGTGAGAAACATATTCATATAGAGAAACAATTCGAGAGAAATAATCAGAGGTGTGGTTGTTTCATTGAAAAAAATTGGAAACTTTAATTTCACTCTATCTTCCTTTCTTATACTCTATATACCTTTCTTTAACTTTGATCTCAACACTGCTAAAAGACCCATCTTATACATGACATGATCCAGAAGATCTGCACTGAAATAATCAAAAAATATTTATAACTTATGTATCATTATTGTACTAGCTGAAACAAATTGGAAGCTCATTTTTCTGCACATTCTCGGTCAAAAACAGAGTATATTAATTCACAGAGGCAAATAACGTTATTATCACTTTATGCAGTGAAATCAACGAGTATTGTCAAGTTGACAAGTACTTATACTCACTTGGTTCTAAAACCAGCAGTCCCGTACTCAACCTTACTTTTGGGATTCTCCAGGTTCTTAATGGTATCGGATATGACATTTTGGAAATAATCCGATTCTGAATCAGACAACAATGTCAAATTCATAGCGTATTTATTTCAATATGCTGCAATATATCACACAATCAACTATGCTTATCGTTTTACTTTCCGTCTTCCTTTTTCCCTCCACCATCTAAGTACAGTAAGAAGCAAAATACTAAACACTTTCTCTTCGACGGATATCAAAAGGCATACAGTATCCAATAGGATAGTGAGATTTCTAGTAATATTCTAGAGATGCGCTTTCCTATTGGACATTGAATGCGTTCCGAAACTTGCAGCAAAAAGGATATCGCTATAATCTTGTTCCTTAGTGTACATTTATCTAAGTGTGTGTACACATACATTCGCTCATCTTTTGACATTCAGCCTGCACTCCGATATTCACTGTCAGTATTGAAAATCTATAGCTTATGTTACATATATTATAGATCTTTAGTACTGGTAGTGAATATTGGAACACAGCCTAAGAAGAAAATGTTCACACGATAAAACGATGTGCTTTCAGGCACTTTTGAACTTCCTAAAAATTTCCAATAGTATTTTCCATTTTTATGCGAAGCTACTACTGGCTCGTATATATTTGATTAGATATATAATAAACACATTTAATGAAAATGACCTATATAACCATCTCTCTTTCTCTGTCTCCTCCTCTTTCTACAATTACAACATACCATTTATAAATCTATTTCAACATTTTTACATGTAAAATTTGCGACCATTGATTCTGTCGATTAACAAGATATTTTGCCATTATCGTTGCGTCAGATACACATAAAATCAAGTGTCAGAGTCGCTTAATACTGAGTACTATCATTATATGGAATTATGTAGTATAATTGATAGATACAAATAATAGACACAAACAGAAAACCACATTACACAATTCCCCTCAACGACCAATTTCACTTTCTTCTCTTTCAGTTTCTCATCTATGTAGAGCTACTAGAGGCCGCGATTTCGTGTTTAACACAACTGGTGCTCGCTTCGCTTTCAGGTACGCTCTTCGTCAAACTTTTACGAACGTTTGCTTCGACAGTAATCTCCGTTTTCAGTCCGGCTGCCTTTACTTTCGCTGCTTTAGCAGTACAACTATTGATAGATTCTAATTTCAACGTCTCGTTGCGGATGCACTTTCTGATTTCATGTCCGACAGCAGCTCCCAAGGGCGGCGGCACCGCGTTGCCAACTTGCCGATGCTTGTCGAGCACTGTGCCGTAGAAGCGAAAAGAGTCTCGGAATCCTTGTGATCTCGCGCATTCTCTCACACTTACGACTCGCGTTTGCATCGGATGTAAAACGCGGCCCTGAAAAGCAATGAAGGCGTTAAATCATCACAGTATTTTCCACTTGCTACAAGCTACTCTTACTCTGCTGCATCATTATACCTGTTTGCCCATTGGCTCGGGATTAGTGATGGTTGTGCCAAAAAATCCTTCCCATTCCAGCCTACCGTATAATCCTGACCAGTGATTGTGCCGATTTCCGGTATGTGGCAGACACCATGGTATCAAAGTGTTAAATTGCTTATCAGTGGGATCACACGGCCGATTAGTGCTGCAACTACATACTCCGCGAAGAGCGCCCGTTGAACTTTTTCCAGCTCTCTTATCGTTGTATGTGTATTCTCTAAAAAGAAAAAAAGATTCATTCAGATGTAGTGCAATTCGAACTTGTATGAATAATTTGTAATGAAAGGAAAAACTGGGACGTACAGTTTTTTAGCGAAAATACCGTCGCTCAATTGCAGAGCAATATTCGGCAAATCGCGCCAATCAGAGCCGCTTGCGGTCGGAATATGAGCTATTCGTGCCTCTACGAGCGGAGCCATTTCTTTGCATATGTGATCCCTCAACATGGGCTGATATTGTTTACCTCTCACCTTAAAGGAAAGAACAAAGTTAATACCGTATCAAGATTGCTGATTTTTTTCCCCGGAAAGGGTCTAAGAAAAATGCTATGAGATTTTTTCGAGATCATTACCTTTCTCTGAAAGTGAGACAATGGTTCACTACCATAAGGCATTTCCTCATTGCTCCAGCCGTTCTTGATAGGTGGTAAATCGGACATAGCGTCTTTCACGCTAATCGTTCTGTATGGCGCGGATTCTTTCCAGGTGCAATTTGAAGAATACTGAAACCACACACAATGTAATAAAGAGCATGTATATGGTAATATAAATTAGATTAGAAATGCAAATCAGATCAATATGTGAAGAAATACCTTTCTATTGTCCACTACTACACTCAATCGACAACATCGTCTGGTAAAAACATTTGTTGGTTCTGGATAATTCGGAAGCGTCTCTCCAGGTGCGGCAGCTAAGATTATTAATCTGAAAAATTCGTAAATTACGATTAATGAAGTATCTGATATTCGTAGGCGTCAAAGAAAAGAATGATACGAACCTTCTTCTCGTTTGCGGCACGCCGTAATTGCCGGCTTGAAGAATACCGAATGTACACTGATAACCCATTCGAACAAGGCAACAGAAAGTCAATTTCAACACCATACTCCTCTTGAAACTCGCGAAATTTCGCACGTTCTCCATGACGAAAAATTTCGGTCTGTAGTAATCAAGGAAGGATAGACAAGAGACGACGAGAGAATTCTTGAATAATGAGTATTGGCGTAGATTGAAACGATTCATGCCGCTGAAACCTTGACAAGGTGGTCCGCCGCACAAAAGTTCGACTTCGCCTTTCTGCGGATATCTTTGCCCACTACCGTCCGTAAGATCGCCCTGAAATAGGAGAAAAGCGTTTGCACTAAATACAAAAAGTAATAGAAACATTATCAAATCTTTCCATCATCGCAGTATTCTCTACTTGCTACAAGTTATCTTGCTCTGCTGCATCATTGTACCTACTTATATATTGCTATTATATATACTTATAATTTGCATATATTGTATCATGCGTCTAGAATTATTATTATTATTATTATTATTATATTATGTATGTCCTAGATATAGAAAAAACCTACCTTCATCACTTTTCGCAACAACGTATTGCAGTCGGTCGAGAACACCGTAGCGTTAGGATAATTCAAACGATATGCATATGCTGCCGGTTCTTCTTTCTCGATTGCCCATAAGGTCTCAGCTACTCCAGCTTCATGCAATCCATCAGATAATCCTGAACAGATAATATTAATTATAACAGTCAGTATTTAATAACATTGTATACTAGATGCTATGCTATTAACGAAACGATATTTACCTCCGCAACCAGCAAAAATATCCAATGTCCTGAGCTTTCTCGTTACAGTGGAATACTCCACTGGTTTATCAATAATTGGTTTACTTTCTGTTTCTTCCACAGTCTTTGTTTTCTGTTTACCTTTTCCTTTGCCTTTCCCTGGTTTACCCAAATTAATAATGTTGTAAGGTGGCTCATCGAATGTTTTCTCCTTAGCGTTATAAGCCTCAGTGAAATAAAACCTATATGGACCGCGATTGCACCAATCCTCGACGGATTCGCCCAGATTTTCAGAATACGCCAGGTAACATTTTCCAGCGACTTCGGTAAATCTTACATTGAACACTGCACCGAGACGAAACAACAGTTCAATATTTACTATTTTAAATAGACGTAGGAGCGAACGTAAAATTTAACTATAAACAAATTATTCTAGTATATATCATCTATCTTAATCATCGCAACCCCTACCTTCGTCGCTCCAATAGACCATGTTAAGGTCTGCTTGTTCCATTAACGTTGAATCACGATGAGTATTTTCTGGTCTATACATTCTGTTTACTCTGATATAGATATCCGAGGGTGAAACCAGTACATTATTCGTGGTGGCGTATATCGCATTTATATAGCCTATATGGAAAGGTTCGGGCGTGTGCAAATTTGAGCCCTTGATCCGTAAGTGATCCGAAGATTTTCTATAAAATTCCGGGTATAAATCCTCGTCTACGTTTTCCTTCTTTGGCAATGGAATCTCTTGGCATGACCACACATATTTAAATTTGAAAGCGCTTGGCTGTAAAAACACCGCATTGCCGACTCTGTATTCATTATTTTTGTACTTCACCATACCATAGGTCACTTCCCTACTGCTTTTCTCTTCTAATCGTTCACAGACCTAGACAGACGAGAAACAATTTTTTACAATTTTCTCGAATCTCTCGTATTTTGTAATCAAGCTCTGTTTTATTTAAACACAATGATTTACGTACTCTCGGCCTGTTGTATTGTTCTAACGTTCTCAGATGAACGCAAGCTGTGCAGAATCGATGACTGTTCTCTTTCCGTAAACATTCCGGATCTGGCAATGGATCCTCAAATCGAGCGGTTTCAGGAGTATATCTCATCTTATAAAAGAATGTTTTACCATCTATATCTTTTATAGTATCGTATATATCCATATTACCTACGATTGTAGCGTTATTATAAAATTATATATAATTATGTGTAATTAAAACAAGTATTAAAATAAACAAGTATTAAACAATAACAAATGTTAAGAAACTTAATAGGCGAATTTGTTTGTTTGTAATTTTCCTACCTAATTCAGACCAATTCTCATGCGTTTCCTTGTGGATTACGGTTGCTTTCGAGTTGACTGATTTAAACGGTACGTCCTCGCAATCGTCGCTTAGGAATACTTCCAAAGGATCCGCAGTTTCACCGAGAATGGTATCCGTACCTCTACGAAACCAATTCGCGTGAAACTGTTTTACTCCACTTACTTTACTTTCCCACATATACATAACTTTAGCAATATGTAGAGGAATTGCTGGATTTCTCGGCTCCACGAGAACATAATCGTTTAACTCAATTCTTTCGTTCCCAACCATAACCGACTTGTAATATGTTTTCTGTCCCTCGACAATTTTGTCCTCCTCTATCCACACTATATCCTTTTTAAGTTCCTTAAAGTCCTTTTTCGGTTTCTCTTCCACTTTTTCATCGTTTTCTAGACCATCATCTTCTTCATTCTCTGGATCAGAATCGTCTGCTTCCTGCATATCAAAGATGTACATAGTTATTACAACGATAATTATTATTACAAATATATTCTATGAGATCATAAGCGATTATATACATATATATATATATATATATATATATATATATATATATATATATATATATATATATATATATAT